TTTTACCCTCAATCCTCCAAAACCGCCCGAAGGATTTTGAATCCTAGCCCTGAAAAGTGACATTGTTTTTCTCATTGTTACAAACTTCTTTGCTGGATGGTTTTGTAAAAACTTTGGGGACAGAATCATTCAAATCAAATCGTGTGTGTGTGTGTGTTTTTTTTTTTCAGGATTATCACTGGTGGTGGCGATCATTCCTCGTGTCCGGGGGGTCAGCATTCTATGTATTTATGTACTCTGTTTTCTACTTTGTAACCAAGGTAAATTCTCCCATTTTTTTATAAGCTTCTGAAACGGAATGAAAGCGTAGATATTTGGGCAGCCTGAAGAGGTTAAGTGAGATTTTTGCAAAGGTTTTGCAGGGCGCTAAATTCCTTATATTGTTTGCTGATTTTGCATATGGTCTGTTGTCATAGCAGATATCAGTCCAAAGAAATGTGGTGAAAAATCCTGCGTTCATATTTTGCAAAGGACATATTCTGTCCTTGAAAAAGGGTTTAGGTTCTCCGTGGAATAATTTAGATGTCAGGTGGTTATTAAAAAAAAGATGAAATATCGGGCGGGGCTTGGTCCAAATCTTGAACACTCCTAATCCAACATTCCATAGCTGGAAGCACTTAAGTACTTAAAGATCACTGCCTATTTGGTGCTGAAATAGTGAAAAATCGGTTCAACCACTGTGTTTCAAGGACAACTGTGTTCCATGACCACAGTTGTTCCATGACCATTGTTGTTCCATGACCACTGTTGTTCCATGACCACTGTTGTTCCATGACCACTGTTGATCCATGACCACTGATGTTCTATGACCACTGTCGTTCCATGTCCACTGTTGTTCCATGACCACTGTTGTTCCATGACCACTGTTGTTCATGACCACTGTTGTTCTATGACCACTGTTGTTCTATGACCACTGTTTTTCACGGACCACTGTTTTTCAAGGACCACTGAGTTTCTGTCTTTCTTTTTTCCTTCTCTCCTCCTAGTTGGATATTACCCAGTTCGTTCCCGCCCTCCTGTATTTTGGCTACACCTTCATGATGGTCCTAACCTTTTGGATCATCACTGGGACGATGGGCTTCTATGCAGCCTACTGGTTCATCGTTAAAATATACGGTGCTGTCAAGATTGATTGACGCGGCAAGAACGGTAACATGGTCAAACGTAGTATTGGGCCACCAGGCTACCCGTCATAAGATAGATATTTCTTTTTTGGGAAAAAATGTGTTGGTATTGGATGTGGGTAGACTTTTTTTAACAGTTCCTCAACCGATTTGGCTGTCTCTACCATTTTATGTCCAGAGTTCAAATGATAAGTTTGTCGTTTTATTTTTTGGAATCGGAATTGAACTTTGTTTCAGAGACAAGGCCTATTTATTACCTCTGAACGTCTGTGCTCCATCTAGCAAAAATTTAATAACGTCTCCATGGACACGGATGCAGTTTTCCTTCAGTTTTAGGGAAAAGGAGAAACATGGCCTGAAGTTGTCATGTGATTTTAGTCCGTAATTCTCGGTGTAAACCAATATAATTTGCCAAGAACAATTTTAGAGTCTGCAGCGTTACAGCATTGGAAATATTAAATTTTGTACTAGGTTTTGGAAACAAAGATCCGGTTGAGTTCGTGCGTAAATTGGGACTTTTCCAGAATTTCCCCATCAATTATCAGCAGCTGAGCCCAATGCGAACACAAGGCTTAAACATCTGGGCCACCTCTGTATTGTAGCCACCTCGGTACAGGGGCACCTGTTGGCAACAATCCCTCATCTACATGTCTCTAGCTGTATGTGCTTTTTACTGTAGATTCATTTTGCTTCGTGGTGCAAGGGGGTCTGTTTTTGGTAGGCTGCTTTTAAGAGAATAGTTTTGTACTTAAATAGAGGTGTAATTCCCAACCATTGCCAGCCAAAATAGTCAAATTTTGACATTAAAATCCACACAACACCGACAGTGGTGCTGTCCACAGCTTTTTCATTGCATATGTAATATGCCATTTGCCAGGTGGTATTTGCGTGTGGTATTCCTGCATAGAATTAGACGCTGTGGTAAGTTCTTGGACGTTTTTTAAAGAGCTTAGTTCAATGACAAGATTCGTGTCTTCAAGAAGTCTCGTACCACTGGTTCTGATTTTGCTCTCTGCCCATTCTCCAAGACATCAGAAAAGATCAACTCCTTTTTAAGTAGACTTGTAATAGTCCTTCCTTGACCCTAAATTTGTTGCAGATAACTGTTTGGGGTTTCGCGTTAATCTACAACATAGTGTGGTCTTTTTGTGAGTTAAAAGTTCAGCCTCTTGGTCCAGCCCGAAGTTTTGACAATCAGAACTGTGGCCTTTGCCAAAGGGTTTTTGGTATCAAAGGTCAAATGTTAAATAGTGAAGCAAACCAATGGGAGTGACATGGTATATATTGAACAGAGGTTTGCATCAGTTTTGATGGCCTCTATTTTCCTTTTTTTTTTAACCCAATTTTTTTTTTATTCTTTGATTGTTAATCACTTTTATGAGTTGTAGAATTTTGTTTGTCAATAGTATGTGAGTGGGTGTAAAAATCTCTGTAAAGATCAAGTGTCACATTCACATGACTGTTTGGAATTATTCTGAAAGCCACATTTGTTTATTTACATGCTTAATATCAAATACCAGCAAAAATGTGTAATTTTTCAGTGATACACGAGTTTCAACTAATTAAATGACAGGGTAATGTGATTTGTACTTTCAAAAGAATTCGAAATTCCTGAATGTAACAACTGTGGCTTCATTAAGAATTGTTTGTTTTTCGGACAAGAGGTTCCAAACAGTCAGGTGTACTTCTAAAAAATTAATTTTCTTTTGTTTAAAGACTATAAAAGTATCCGATTCGTAAGTGAATTCGTCACAAAGGAGGACGAGCCAAGGTTTGCCGGCTCCCATTGGACGATCACTGAAGTTGCACGTTAACTTCCGGTTCCATGGTTCCATGTAAACGGTGATCAGTGCATATGACTCTATGCACAGTGCATGTGCAGAGGGCGTGGTTTAAACTGAAGTGACGCCACACTTAAGAACTGGATTGGTTATATTAATAGTTCTTGGATATTTTTGAAACTAACTGAAAATTTATCAGCCATTCAGAATCTGTGGCTCAGATTTACTACTCATTGCAGAACCTTTCCATGATTCCGTCTCGGTACTTTTCAGGAAACATGCATATTTGTTTACAATACTATCGGACATGTTTATTGATGTGTACCAGTCAATTAACAAAATAGTGGTAGTTTAAAAAAAAGTCATGCTATAAATTTAAAAGATTACCAGAAGTTATTTCAAACATTAGAAAGTCATATATTGTTCTGAAATTTCAGATGTACCCTCGCCATTTCCCTTTTCAGCAGAAAGCTATATTACAAGTTCCGCTTTGAACGTCGGCTTCGAGTTCATAGTCCCAGAGACCACGCGTGCTTTCAACAATGTGTTTTCACCCATTCCCAATATGCTGTTTGCTTGGATGTTGTTTATGGCATGTATGCGCATTTCAAAGTCACACATTTGCCTCATTTTGTTCGCACGAGGTGCAGCTGGTCATTCTTCTTGTAAATAACATCTTCATGAGCATTTTTATTTCTGGTAGGTTTTGATTTGGTAAATCCTTTGCCGGCTGTAGTGTTCCGTATTAACCCATGTGTACAAGAAAATAAAAATCTATTCTGAAACACTGAGATCTTGCCATCACTGCACTGTTTATCTGAAGAGGTATAAGACTTGGTTACAGTCCAATTTCCTAAAGAAGTAGACATAAGATGTCAGGTTGCATGGTGGCACAGTGAGGTGTCACAGAAAGGCATGGGCTCTGAAGCCCGTCTTCAATACGGGCGATTCAGTTTGCCACGCGTCGGCCAATCACAACGTGCGAAATCTGATGACCCTTTCCAAACGCGCATTGCGTCGACAGATTTCGCGCCCTGCGATTGGCCGACGCGTTGCAAACTCTTGGAGGCGTACTATTGTGAATCGCCCTTTTATGCCAACGAAACCTTGCATTACCCCAAGTGCTCAAACCAACGAACAATCCCTCCAGATAAATATGTATTCTTGAGGACAAAGTAACTCATAAACTATAAAGTACATGAATATACGATTACATTGTTATCGAAATCAAATAGCTTCTAAATGGACTTCATTAAGAAATAACACGAATGGGCTTCTTGTCTGTCCTCTGTCTAAATTTTTTTAGAAATCTTTCAGTAAACAAATGCTATATCCTGAAATTATTGTTTAATAGAATATACGAAAATCAAATGTTGCAGTGCGAAAGTAATATAATGTACACAAGACGTCAAGAAATTATTAAAAATGTAGGCTTACTTCTCAGTAAATTCCTGAATCAAACGCGAGACCGACTGCCTTGTAAAAGACTTTGTTAAATATGGAGAATTTTTTCGTCTTCTCTTTTTATTGGTTCTGCCTGTTTACCGTTATACCATGGCCGCTTTTGTCTTTTCGTCTAAATCTCAACTTTCGTTTGGTTGAGTTTAAACAAAATTGAAGAAAATGGATACTTGCTCATAAAGTATCTCTGAAATCAGCATTTGCCACATCTGTGGCACAGTTTATATGTGGCAAGTCTCGTTTCATATTCCCGTTCCAAAAGTTCACAGACTTTTTTTGAGGGGAGGGGGCTAGGTGTTACTGAATATCCCTCGTTTTATGCTGGAAGGCAGACAGTATCATGTGACTGGCGCTTCTTCAAGGCAATCCGGAAACCTCCGATCGTCCTGATAGGGTCCGAACTCTCTGCTTTCAGGGAGGGCGGTTTCTCCCCCGGAGGGCATTGAAGGGAAAAGTGCTTCAAAATGCCACCCAGGTACAAGAACAGCCCCATGGTCGCCAGCTGCTTGCCCAAGCAGAAACGAGGCCCGATGGAGAACGGCAAGAAGTGCTCCGGTATGAACACTCTGCCTCCTTCGTCCAAGAAATGCTCTGCGTGGCAATCAAATAAATAAGCCTATATATGTAGAATGTTTTGCGCATGACGTACACTTATGAATATCATTATTAGTGAAATAAGAATAGGGGGTGGAGCAATGGATCCTTGACGTCAGAAACATGCATATTCATTACTCACTCCAGTTGTGCTCGACCTATCCGGTTGAAGAAAGTTTCAAGGCTTGTCCCGCAAACGAAAGTTTGCATTGGTCGAAAGTTATGGCATGAACAACACTAACAAGCGTTTGGTTTCCATACCTGGTCGGAAGTTGTTTGGATCTTTCCAGTTTTCTGGATCGTGATGCACCCACCACAGATTACACAGAACTGTTGTGCCTTGTGGGATGTCATAGTCTCCCAGCCTGTGTAAGGCAAATCAGTCGAATTATTGTTCACAATCCACAAGGCAGCTTTCAGGATAGGAAGGTGTACATGTACATGCGTTTTGTAAATGATGACGTGTACAAATTATGAAGAGCTAGACGCAGAACCAACCAATGAACGAGTTGCCTCATTACTTTCTTGAGCTGATCAATCTCCGGATGCAATTGGCTGAATGTTGGTTAATAATTATTGCAAATCACTTACTTTGTGTCGCATGTGGTCACGTGTGGACCATTCAGAGACGAGAATGAGCTGTGACGTAATGTCTCAAGCACCGTGGCTTCGAGATACGGAAGCCTTGAGCGGTCACCCCAAGTCGGCAAGCCAGCGGGGACGTTGTTGTCTATCTCGGCTTGCAGTCGTTTCTGTACCTGAAATCAAAAGCCCGGAAAATAAAAGAAAAAAATCCATAGAAGGAGCGAGGATTTAAAAACTCAAGGCTCACATTAACAAGTAAGGCTTATAAAGTGAAGATCTTCACCTCTGGATAATGGATCAAATAGGCCAACGCCCATCTCAGGGTTTGGAAAGTTGACTCAAAACCGCCCGCAAATATCTCCCACATTGACATCACCACTTGGTCCTCCGTCATGGTGACGTCATCGCTTGCGCCATTATTCCGATTGGCACTGTCTTGTACGGACTTCAGAAAGGCATCGGTGATGTCCCGGATGTTATCGGGTCGGAAGGTGGCCACGTGGTCCTCGTACTGCGCTTGGAGAATGGAGTCACGTGTCTTGATGAGCTCCTGAATTGTGCGCATGCGTTTTGATGGGAATATCTGAAAGTAAGGACGATCGGTCTGTTGAGTAGTGACTTAGGCGACTCCTAAGTGCTGCTTTTTGTTCCGAAACATACTTTCCTTGCACAGTGAAGAACGCTTCTGTATATGAAGTATGTTGATAATGCAATAATTGCTTGAACCTGTGCTTTTTTATATACGATTGTTTTCCAAGCTCCAAATAACACCTGTGAAAGACCGTACATTTTTGTATTAATTAAGTAAGTAGCTGTGCAGAGTTAAGTCAAACCGACTAGAAGTCACTGACGGCAGAAACGCATTCGCCGCCGAACAGTTTGACGAAATACTCCAAGGTCGGCGAACGAGCACAAGAAGTACAGTGACTTCCCCGAACAGGTCATCGGAGTACATGAGCAAGGATTTGGTGACGCGAATTCCTTCACAAACGACTGACAAGGCTGATGATCACCCATCAACCGGCTCTTCGCCAACTGACGGCCAAACAAGGGGTAACCACAATGGGTATTTTTTTGCACCTGGTTCATTCACTCAGGTGATTCCAATGAGAGTACTGGGGCACACCAAGGACCTTTGGATATTTGGGTGTTAGTAAAGTGCACTGCACTTTTTGCCGATGGGGGATTTTCTTGGGCTCAGAGTTTCACGTGACTGACGGTCAGCGTCAAGGGTCAAGAAAAGCCTGCAGCACCGTGGCAGATTCTGGGGGAAACATTTTCCTCTTTGCAAAGTTGTCTATTTTTGCTTTCTTCTCTTTGAAATTGCTTTAATCCGTAACGAAGTAATCAAATTTCGACGAATGAAAATTTCCCCTCTTAATGTTTTAGTTCTTTCTCAGAATAAAAGCAATGAGCAAGCCTCTTTTCGAGATAATTCTGTACAGTATTTTTAATTTCTCTTCTCGTATACGTTTTTCCTTGTTGTTCACCGATATCGTTCTTAAATTTTTAATCTTTTGAGAACTTTCCCACCCACGTACGAAGATTTTCTCTTCGCCAAGGAGCCACCCATCTTTTGGGCGGGCTGCAGAGATCAATACACGGCAGGGGTGTTACCATAATGACCGCGTCAAGACCAATTGTCCCTGGTAATCGAGTCTCATCATCCCTTTTTAATGGCTCTCCCGCACCGGGTAATAAACTATAATTAGGCCTCTATGACAATCAATATCATAATAGTGTTGAGGGGTAAGTCGATGCCGAGGCCTTGAGGAGAATTTAAGAGTAAGTTCTGGAGACAATTAGTCCCTCTGATAGGGGGCAAATGAAAGTGCAGGAAAAAACCGCGTGACCGTTGACCCGTGCTTAACTCTACTCACAAAATCGAGGCACTGTTTTCGATCGACGGAAATTTTCAAACAGACATTGTCAATAGCTTCAGTTGTAACAAAGTTCCAGTTTAAATTTATTCAATTCCAGTTCATATCAGTCCACCGAGAATCCATTTAAAAGACACATTTGGGGAGACTTAACTCCAGTTCGATTTAAAATCGGTCAAACATTTAGTTCTGCCCCCCCAAAAAGGGTTAATAGAAAACTAATATTTCGCTTCGTGTGCCAGTATTCATAAACTGTCCGGCAGATCTGTAAACTACTGTAATCCGTGAATACATCGATTAAAGTTTCGAAAACCTCAGTGAGCAATTTAAATACACGTACAGATATTAAAAACGAAATTTTAAAGACAATAGAACGATACAATTTGAATTAAACTGGCCTTTTGAAAAACAATATTGCTTGTTAACACCACTTCTTTGGTTGTGCAACAGATAAATGACGACTCGACAAGATTTGAAAGTTAAGTGTTTCGAAATATTTTCCGTCTCAAATTCATGTCTTTTCAACAATGTTTGCAAAAGCTGGTTGTCACTGTTGCCAAACTAACCTTCAAAAACGGGAACAGATCCAACGGATGACCTGGCTTGAACAGTTCCTTCAGTTTATGATTAGCCGAGACGAAAGCTTTCATCTCGGCATCGTCTGGACCGTAGCGACAGCCAAAGGTCAAGCTGCAGACGGTGTTGATGAGAGCCACGGTCAACGTTTCGCTCGGATCTATTGGACGTCCATCGGAGGCTGCCATATCGGACACCGCGCCAGACACTTCTTGCAAGATGGTTTTTTCAGCGATGGAGCGGCCGCGCACTCCTCCGCTAAAAATAAAGGAGACGTAAGCTGGTATTGAAGTGTTTAATTACATAACGATAATGTTGGATTCCAAACCTCACTTTTTTAATGTTGTTTATAACATTTACGCATAATTTTTCACAATTTTCCAGTCAAACAATTGTATTACTGGAGAAAGTTCTATACACGAACATTACTTTACATCCTGTGCACAGCGTTTTTTAAGTAAACGTTTCAGTTTTATTTCTGCTGAATTTAACCTTTAAGGACATTGTTATCACTGATGGTTATCACTGAGGAAAATTAGTGATGTCTGTATGTATGGGGCTCTTATACACTCTGGAAATTAAAACTTTCCGAAATTTTAAGATGGATCAATAATATCTTAAACTTCTGAAAGATTTTCTTTTCTATTCATATTTGCGTCTTACAAAAATATCGGCCGATGATAAATTGAAAACAGTGGGTCTGGTAATTATATTATATAAAACTTCAAAGAATGCAGCGATCTTTTCAACTCAGTAATTTTTCGAAGTATTGGTTCACATCCTTTTGGAAAGAAATTTTAGAAAAAAAACAGAATTAAATATCGTGACTGAACACAGTTTCAAATGCCTTTCTAAAATCTTAAATTATTTGTGTATTGTGCATAACTTATTGTATCATTCCGTCTGTTGGTTCAACTTTGAAACTTAGCCCTTATTTGGATCGATGAAAAATCATTTCATATAAAAAAAAATAATTATATTAATCCTGTGTGTGTAAGAATGCGTAACAAAATATGCGTCTGTCTTCCTATTTTGGAAAAGGTCGTTATTCACTTTTTCCAACTACGTCTGCACTGTTTGATTAAGAGGACTCATTTGAGGGTGGGAATTTTCCACCTTTGTTAAGCGGGAGCATTGAAATAAAATCTCTTCTTACAAAGTTGTCCAAAAACTGCATTAGAGAACGGCACAATTTCACACACCTTTGCTGTAGGATCATGCGTAAGGCGGACGCAGCATCCTTACGATGTCCTCTCCAAGCCGGCCCATAATCCGAGAAGGCAATTCCGCAGTTTTTCCTGGTCAGTAGGCTGAGAGAGAACATGTAGGGCCGGCCGGCGAAGTCCACCGACCGCCTGACGAAAGCGTCACGGATCGCCCGCGAGCTACTCAGGACTACGAATTCCTTGCTGCACGCCTGCAGGCCGAACACGTCCCCGTGTGTGGCGCCCAGCTCTCGGAGCGCGACACACAGCGGCCGCCCGTCGCCGAGGAACACGGCCAGGTTGCCCAAGAGGGGAAGCCCGGTGGGACGCGGCGGGAAATTTCGCCTGCGCTCGGAGCGCTTACAACCGTAACGACTTATTAGAAGACGGCAGATAAGAAAGAACGTAACAAATATCAGGATCTCTGTCATCATGACCTACTGGTGTCTTTCTGCTGCAATTCGTTGTTTTTATCGTGCAAACCATCCAACAAGATCTGGTAAAGTCTACTCGATTCTTATAATTATGCAAACCAGCCAACAAGATCTGCTAACAAGCTTAGCACAACTTCTGTAGCACCAGTCCGCAAAAAGGTTTACTCGAAAAGATCTGATCTAATTCTACACAGCGCCAAAGACAATCATCAGTTTCTTATTCAGTTGGCGCATCGATCACCACCAGCAAAAGTGACTGAAAAAGTGCAGGGGCACTTGTTTGTCCAAGAAAACAAGAACTGTAATTATCTAGGAGAGCTTTGTGTTTGTCAAGGGGAGAAAAAGACAGCCCTGGTTTATGTTGGTCATCGCGTGCATTCCTTCAGCGAACCCCCTTTTGTCAATTTGCGTTTCCTTTTACACCAGGGTATGAAACGAATTTCGGGTAGCACCTGATGATGGGGCCGAGAAGGCCTCCGATTGGCCGAATCAAAAAATTCGATCGGTATGCGACCTTTCCCCGCGTCAGAAAGTTTGAGTGATAGCGGTGTGGCGGCGTTAGCTGGGGCCAGACGGGCTGCTTGAGGGCCCGGGGCCCTTCTTCAAGGATGGGACAATGGGAGGTAGCCTTCATTCCGAGATTCCTTTTGGGAATCTTCTTTGCCTGAAGTGGCCATTTGGATGCTAATCTAGTCAAAGCACTGAAAGTACAGTGAACTCCAACTTGTTAACTCTCCATTCGTGCCGAGAGGAACTCGCAGTCTGTAGCCGATTTGAGCCGAAATAAAACACCATATCATCGTACAATAAAATATTATTTCAAAGAAATCTGTGTTAGCCTACTAATTTCCAACGAACCAGTTGATTCAGCCAACCAGTCGTCGGTTGAAGCGTTTACGTCACTAGAGACTTTTCACAAACATGCAAGAATTTGGGTTCAGCAAATCGTTTTTGCAAAACCAATCACTACTATATTCTAGAAAACATATTTTCGGCGCTCTACCTTGCAAGTCCAAACATCCCCACCCTGAAATTCGAAATATAACTCAAGCTTACACGGAGTACAACTCTGGAATCAAACGTAAAATCAAACCCCAGAAAGTTTAGACAAAATGTTCTTTGTCTATTTTACTTGGACCTAAATTTCTTTATACATGTATTTGATGGCGAGTAATTTCTAGAAACAGTCGGTCAGCGACAGTTTCTTTCTAAAAGAGAGAAAAAACTAAATACTTTTTGGCCGAATAAAACCCTTTGTCATCTGTTTTCTCTCCAAAATTAATGATTTTCGCGTTTAACCTCGGTTGAATAAAACCCGATTCCTCCCAGAGCAATTATTCACCTAGCTACACCACATCACAATAACTGACGACCTTCTGTTCATCTCCCTCCCTCAAGGAGATAATGAAGCGCATTTCGCCCCTCCCCCCCCAAAAAAAAAGAAAAAAAAACTTGAGGGAAAGATGTTTGCCGGGACCCTTCCAACCACTTACATGTTTCATTGATTGGTAATTACAAAACGGTGTTACCTTCCCAACACAAGGACGAAAAGTACAGAGGACCCCTGTCGACAGGGGAGAATGGGTCCGACAACGACCCGCGTCCAAGGTCTATCAACAGGTATTGGCGTGACAAGGACCGCCCCGTGCTGTGCTTGCACCGGAAAACTTGCGCACTTGTGGCAGCGAGGGTGTTAATAAATACAGCTCACGCATGCGCATTGAGGAAGACGGTGATCTCAGCACGAGTCTCGTGGAAGTTGCATCCATCCGTATAGTACCCCTCCTCAGCGAATAGATCAACTGCCAGGAAACAGCCGTCGGGGCCGCAATCGCCACAAGGTTGAGCCAAAGCCACCCAAGTGACTTATTCACAGAAAAGTACAGTGACCCGAGAGAGTGCGAACTAATTACGGTATTTGGAGATAATACGTCTTTTGGCGGAGCGCTGTTAGGTGCAGGACTGGGACCGGACTAACTCTATCAAAGGAGAATTACCTCTAAGCCTTGAGTTTTCTCACACACACCCCAGATTACTGATTGCCGAGAAAGGTTTTGGGCCAACGGACACAGAACCGATTTTTTTTTTAGGTCAACATCTCGAGTCGTTCTTGTTGGCAGAGTGGCAATTTTATCGTAAGCTCACTGTGCAAAATCCTTGATTTATCTTTTGACTGCCAAAAGTTCTTTTGAATATCTCTGTAAAATTATTGAGATCGTTGACTGTACTATAACAACAGGATAGTACAGAGCATGATTTCATAAACAATGAATACGATCAACACATCAATCAACAAGGTAGCCGTTACTAACTTCGGGCTTGACGTTTTTATTTTTGTTTTGGACCTCTTCCTAAACATCCTCATGGGCTTACTGATTAACGTCTAGCCATTAAAGAGCATTCCCGTCAACAGACTTTTTATTTCCAAAACAATATTCTGCTGGCAATGTATTGCACATCGAATCAGTATTTCTGCACATCATTAAAAAAAACAACAACAACAAAAAAACCACAAACAACAAACACTACATGAAACAAATGACAATTACTTCATAAAATAACAAGTAATCCTCAGTAGAAATTGTTCAGTTTTACAAATATCGATGAGGCCAAAATGAAATCTAAATAGGACAGTCAAATGAGAAGATCTTGCCTGGGGTTCCTCGAGGAACCTCTCGGTCACACACCAAGGAATACAATAAGTGTAAATAGTTTGTTGTAACTTGCATCAACCCACTTCCACAATCTGTAGTTTTGGGTTTTATCCAACTGTTGTAACCACACCTCCATGGTGGTAATGTACGTATACATGCAACAACAAACTCGAGAGTGTCAAGCCTCAGGAGGGGCCAATTTCATTGAGCTGCTTAAGCTTGAAATTTGCTTCAGCGCGAAAAAAAACCTCACTTGATATATCAGGTAACCAGCCAAAACTCCATGTTATGTATATTGTTTTGGGATCGTATTTAGCTGTTTTTGGTTAGCATGACTATCAGATAGAGTTTAAGCTGGTAATCTTTGTTTATTAAGCAATTTTTTTTCCCGCTTACGCAAATTTTGTGCATAAGCAGCTCTATGAAATTGGCCCTAGACTACCAATTAAGCCATGGACTCCCTGCAGACCTAGTCCATAGATATGCCCCAAACGGCTCATGGGAACCAAATCTCGATTTGAAAACTCTAAATTCTAGGCTACGAGAGCAGTTTGGAGCCCACAAACTCCTGGGTTTGTAAAATCATAGCTGTAGAAGGCTAATACACAGGACTGGGAGTGTGTATTCGCGAGACATTTTGACGAATTTCGGGTGTTGTCTGATGATGCGAAGGTATTTTATTACTGTCATCCGTGGTAGTTTATTTACTGGTCTGCAACCTTACACGTGGTTGTGCAACTGAGTTAATGAGAAACGGTATTAGATGAACAATAAATTCAAATTATGCTTCTTACAATTTCCCTGGATAATAGTTTGATAAGGAGGATTTCTCTAAAATCTGTGAACAACAAAGTCTGAAATCTTGATGAGACTTTATTGCGTTAAGTTGTAACTCCTGACTAGATCGGTATAATTTATGGGCTTCATGAAATACGTACGTATAATCACAGAACTAATTATAATACACTTAAAAACTTCATGGGTAAGATTAGAATATAATTTGTACAAGTAAGACCAGAAGTGTATCTTAGGGGAAATATACAGTAAAATTTTAAAAATTGGTTGGTATTTTTAGCAAGGAAAAAGAACTTTAAAAATTGACACAATGTGTTCATAATTTAAGACAACTCTAACACTTCTGTCAGGTTTGTTCAAAGCGCACGTTCTTGAAGAAATATTTCCCACGCGAAATGAATACTCAACAAGTTTCTGAGCCAATGTTGACGTCCATGCGGAATTTGGACGCATTTGCATTATTTGGAAATGGAATGGTTCTGCACTATGAATTAACAAGTTGGTAAATTTAAGCTGTAACTTTCAACATTAAAACACCAATACAAATGCTGAAGTATAATGCCTATCGAGCTAGAGCAGCAAAGTTTCTGTGTAATCGCAAATTTAACATTTACGGAAGCACTGTTTTTAATCACTTTTTGGACAGCACATCAACAGAATGAACAAGCACCCTTCCAATGCAGCATATTAAGAACATATAATAACCCAGAGACACAATAAAATCGGCATTTGATAGCTTACTGTTCAAATAGCAGATTTGTTTTCTGCGCCCGTCAATTATTCCAGCCACTCTTATCTTACAGCCCCAACCCTATATGTAGTTGCGATTTGGTCACAGTTTGGACACCGTTGTGTTTCAGATTTTGTCACTCTTTTCAGTGCTAACAAACATTTGCTTCAATGCTTTTCCCACAGAGGATGGTTCCCCTGGGGTGGGGATTTCATCATTCCCTACAGCATGGAGCAATCCCCACCCCCTCCCCCACCCCCCGACAAGTTAGTGGGAAGGTGGGGAGGGGACATCAATTGATACCGTAAGTTGCAGTTTTTACCTTATTGCAAGAATTTTTAAGCACCTTAAAGACCAAAGATTCTCTTTTCCGTGTAAATCTTGCCCTGGTGTCCATCAGAATGTTGCTGCAAACACTGAATTCACTGAAGATTACTTATGCACTGCCATGCACTGTCAGTGCAGACAGCAGAGGGCGCTGTTCAGGATATAGCTGTGCAGTCTTTTTAAGCATTAAGCGTATGTTTATCACACACATCTGAGTGGCATGGTACTATTGCATGCTATGTACATGCAGAGATTATCTTGAGTGCATTTGTGAGTTGCCAACCTCCAGACCATTGTAGACATCAGAAGTATGCTTCAGTTTGTTTTCTTGTAGGTTTCGATGGTTATAATGATCCTTCAAAAATAAATACTGTGATAGAATGACCTATTTTAGAGGAATTTCATAAAAAATCAAACATCACAGAGCCCAATGAGAGATTGTTCATTTTGACGGAAAAACTAATAATAAATTTGCACCTCAGCATTTGCACATTTGCACCTAAAAAAACAAAAAACCCAGAAAAACAAAACTGACATAATTTGCCTTAAATGGTACTGGCATATGGGTTGGAACTTTTACCTGGCCCATGGCGAAAAGATGAAAAACAGCTAGAGCCAATGAAAATTGTCACATAACGGCACAACCTCTTATTCTGAAGGTCGGAATGGACGGGAAAAGTGTTATCAATGAATTTGACCTGACCACGGGAGTCTATTTCGGCTTGCTAGACGATCGCAGACAACATGAATGCAACACTGCTCGACTGTGAAATCACAGTGTTCATGGATACGTTTATAATCTTGATCCAAAGTTTCACTGTAACTTGTACCTTTTCGCTCCTGTCTTGGGCAATTTTTTCTCAATCTCCTTCACTCCTCTTCCTTGGCTGTGTACACCGACTGACCGCACACAAAAGTCTTCTGGAGGTTGAGGTCATCGTCGAAAAGGAGAAGATCAGCTCGGTTGCCCACCTTCACGGCTCCGATGCCTTCAAGATTTGCAATCCTAAAAATTAAAAAAAAAAAATGATTCCATTGGAGCAAATATCTGAAAGGTTAGCATGGTTGGCCAGAGAGAAGAGCACTCGCCTCTCACCAATGTGTTCCCGGGTTTGATTCCCTGCTAGGGCCATATGTGAGCAGAGATGTTCACTGTTTATCTCCTTTGCCTTGAAGATTTTTCTCTGGGATCTCCGGTTTGCCCCCTCTGCAAAAATTAACACTGCTAATCTCTCATTGTGCTCTGTGGTCTGGAATGGGTGGTTTAAAGAGCAACTCAAAGGAAAACATGTTTTCTCTGATTTTATCTGTTCAAATAAATGTGGAAGAATCCAAATCGAACGCAGTGTCATTTGTCTTCTGTTCATGTCGAGAGGCAAATTTTGAATGAAGAAGTCACAAAGTTTTTGTGATACCTAATATGTTTTTCGCTTCTGTTGAAAATTTTCTCTGCTGGTTTTAAGATGGCGCCTTTGCCAAAGTTGTCAAAGGGCAATGCCATTTTACGTGGACAGCCTTCCAGGGTTTGGCAGGTCATTGACACTGCAGACAATTCTGATGGATTTCACAAAACCAACTCGGCAACAACCGTGAGTGCATATCTGCCATTCGGTTTCACTTCAGAGTGGAAAAGTGTTGACAAAGTGGACGAACACCGACATACCTCGCAGGGTTTTCAGCCACCATGGCCGCGGCTTTGCCTATTCCGGTGTGGAATATCTTAACCAGAGACCTGAAGGCATCCAGGCAGGAGCAGCAACTGCCGGCTAGGGTCGTCGTGCCTTCGATGACAAGACACTTACCGTCTGGAGTTACCGTCACTGAATTTCAAGAATCAAAGAAACTTTGTAATTATTCTGTTAAAGAAATTTGATGTCTGCGGTGGACAGGACATCATCTAAAATCACAACTGATGAGATTGGAGTCCAGAAAAATGAGCCTAGGACCACTTTTTTGTTTCAAAGTTGACACGACAGCAAAAACAAATGCAAAATTGTGACGTCAAATCAAATTTTTTTGGCTGCAAATTTCCAAAAACTCTAGCAAAGTTTGTTGCGAATGTTTTGTGACATCCAATTTGCTTCGCTCTCGCATTCATCTGAAGTATAAACTGGTCTTTAGTTTGCATTAGAAAGACCATCATAAGCTCTGTGTAGAGATGGATCACTCCGTTTGGCGTCCAGGTGAAAACGGACATTATGTGGGTGAAAAATGTTGAAAGATCCTGTTGTCTGGCCCATCCTGCCTCTAATGCTTCAGTCAAGTCCATCACAACTCCTTCCACAAGTACCTTCACGAGTCTGGTCACAAGTCCTTTCACAGGACCAGTCGTAAGAAACAGGGTGAGCAACGACAAAAGAACACTTCTGTCACAGTTTATTAATATAAACTACGACTTGACTTAAAGACTGAATGACTTGTGAAGAACTTTCAGTGAGTTGTGATGGACTCCACTGCAGCTCTGCCTGCTTCTTACTCTCTCGGTTGCTGTAAGCCATCTTCTTGTTGGGTATGGCCTCGGCGGTGCAGTCGGACACGAACGCTACTTGATTAAAATGCCTAGAACTCAGCACATTAGACACAGCAAGCGGATGACTGTATAAAGAAAAAAAGAAGCAAACAACTGCGAAATAATCATTACTTTTCTAATCGACTTCTGGTGGAGGTAGTGCTTCTCAGTTCAGAAGCTAAGAAATATTTATTCAAACATAACCTTTGACAAAATCCTGAAGACATTGTTTTTCCTTGTCAAATAAACCATGCAGGGAAACTCGCGAGGCGCTTTGCAATAATCACACCATGTTGGTGGTTCCTCTTAACATCTAGTCCTGACTACCTAAAAATTCTTCAGTTTGGGTGACTCAGTACTATGCACAAGGAACTTGGTGTTGGACTTTGCTGCATTCAGGAATCCAAGCCTAGGGTGATGGTGTTGAATTTTGTTTGAGTGCAGACACACCGTGGTCGTTCCCTGGAGTGACTGGCTAGTGGTACCATGTTTGGACTGTGCTTGATTTTGTCAGGGTTGGTACAACTACTGTGCAAGTCATCCCTAGATTGGATAGGCTCATCTACACCAAATGACCCAAACTTCAACTATGTTGACCATTTGGTGATTAACAGGTTCTCCCTGGGCATGTGCTGGTCAATACAGAGCCCTGCTGTCTGTTGAAATTTGTTAGGTTTCTAGCACAAAAGCCCATGGGAACAGAAAAAAAAACTGGACTCACACGTGGACCATGTCGCCGATGATCTCTACGGTTGGTGGGGCGAGTTTCTCATAGCCAGGCAGCGAGGGGAATCGGTCGGTCATTCCAAAATTGACGAGACTTGGGTTCCTAGTACAAAAAGTCACATTGATAATTAATCAGGTTTAAATAATGAATGGCTTGAAATCTGCAAAACCCTTTTGATGTAGATTTTTATTTTGATATCTAAATTTACCTAACACTCTCCCAAACTTGACATTTTTATGAATTTCATTTTTCAAGCTTAGATAATACTCCATCACAGATTTTGAGGAAAGCCAATTCCATTTCCATGGCAATCAGTAAAAGCTTTGAATGAAACTTATACTATGAATTTGTCTGTTTATTGCTTTTCGGCACACAACTCACCTGTGATGAAAACTGCAGACGTTGAACAGATGTGTGATATGAAACTGTACCGATGGTTTTATCTTCAACGCTCCTAGAATCTCTTCTTCTGAGGCGAGTCTGTCATGGCCCAATGCTGGAACAATACCCCTGGAGTACACATAAACATTTACACAAATATACAACACCTTTCTCGACCATCACTGATACTTAATGTTCAGGGCACATCAGTGATCCAGTTGGGTATTTTGACAGCACAGGCTCAAAAAAAAGGTGTCGTAGTGTGGTGGGGCAGACGCGGGCACAGGGTCCAGTGGTATGGGGAATGTATACAAGTGGAGCAGCAACTGGCCCACGATGCTCTTGGGTTCAGCTTGACTGCTGAATCAAATGTTGTATTCAGAGACTGTGGAGTGGCGGTCGAAAAGCACCGACCGATGACGGAGGTGGGAGACTAGCGTGACCCGCCTCCGCCATGCGGTGGCGCCCTTCAGACTCACCGTAAAAAGTGCAGACTCTACCTAGGGAGATACCACTAACAGCGGTCCAACAACAGTCTACCCGGAGGTGGGGTTTCTTTATACACAGAAAAAGGAGAAACTAGCACAAATGATGGGCTATACATGTAATAATTTCACATCTAAGCTCCCTACAGTAGGTCAATCAAGAACATCAACGTAGGCTCATGAGGCCTGTCCCCCTCATGTGCACTGAACCTGTTCCGAACTGGTGTGACGTCAGGTGCTGTGTTCTCCAATGACTTCATCATTTTTAAAATACCGAACTGGTTCATTCTCAGCAATGCCACATAGACTAGCTTTTTCAACGCTGCAAAATCTTCACAGGTCTCCTGGTGAAACTTAAAAGACCTGGCTTGTGGCTCGACAAGGATACATTTCATTGGCCAAAAGCTGGCAAATTCTACAAACAGTGAGTTATCCAATCACCTTTCCAGAAGCATTTTAATCCGTGCGTAGTTGCTCTTGGCGTCAACATGAGGACTGATCGTCATGATACGACAGCTAGGCATGGCATCGAGAATCCTCTTGAATTCTGCAATCGGCATTTCGTTATCCCCGACCGGCAGGCCGCCAAAGTCATTGACTATCGGTCCCTGAAAAAGAGTTCAAATTGTCCCCTTGGTGTTTTTGTAACAAATGCCAAAGAGAAGCAGAAATCACTCAGCCTTTAAAAATCAAACATATTTGAAATCTGGACGAATCTTAATTTAAGGATCAAAACTCCAGAAATCTGGAAAAATCCTCAGAATTGTATCCAACAGGAAAATGAAAATAGAAAGAAATCTTGAGCAGGAGTCGAATGAGTTCATACCGACCTACAGTAGTCTAATGCTGCTGAACCGGGATAAAGTACATGTAATGTGATAAGGTCTCATCAAGACAGTATAAAGGTTTTCAACTTCTTTAGCTTATTTGTACTTTTTGAAGATTAAATGTACCTCAAATCTCAAAAAAATTATCATTTAGATGATAACAGCAAAGCAACAAAATGAAAAAGTTTGAAATCCTGTTCCATTGCTGACCTCGGCATGGATACCTTCACAAGTTGACCCCTGACCCGTCTCCCCCACGATGCCCTCCAGGATTTTCAGCGTGTTGTAGACCGAGGGCGCCTCAAGGTCTTTAGGGAAAACCATCGAAGCGAGGAATGAGGTGACACCATACCTGACAAGGCGTGTCTGCGTGTGAGCTGCAAATGAATGCATCAATATCATTGATTTGAAGGGCTAACAAGTTTGAAGAAAAACTAAAAAAAACTATGACGACTTAAAAATGCATCTTTGTTGTATTTTCACAATTTCTGTCTGAGTACCTGGGTTGCTCCAAAACTGTACTAAGTCATCTGCTCCGCCTGTGGACATAGAACCAAACAAAACAATCTGTTCTGACATTGACTGGTGATGCGGTGTTTCGTACTTAACTGGTAAAAGGCATGGGTCATTCTATAAATTCAGGGTCCAAAAGTGTGACATTTTTTACTCCTTGTTACACCTGACTTGTGTAATTTGACATGAAAATATCGCTGAAATTGATTTCAAACTATCTCAATTTGTTTGGCAGGAAATTTGCATTAATTCGTCACTCTTGTAAATTAAAGAATGTGTTCTGAACTTCTAAAATCATGTCAGATGTGACAGAGACACAAGAAATTTGACCCCTAATTTACAGAGTGACCGATATGAGAGTGTACATAAACTTCGGCAGTAGTAGGTGGAAAGGCTTGCGGTAGCGCCATGCAAAGGAATATACCTCTTATGAGTATGTGTGGTTATACTCCAGGTTCTGTTCAGAACCACACATACACTGTACATGTACTCATTAGAGATATATTCCTTCGCACGGCGCTACCCCCAGGCTTTCCACCTATTGCTGTCTTTCACCATAAATAGCCTGAAATTCCAACTTCTGCAGTCTTACTTCTGTTTAATATTTTGTATATGACTTTCACTGATGAGCACTGAAAATCCAGAAATCTAGGAAGATTATAGTTACCCCTCATAAAAAAAGGAAAAATTTCCTTACCCCTCAGAAATGTTTTAGCCTGTTTGGCAAAGAATGACCATTTTTCAACTTAATTCCTATTCACTATGTTCACTCAAAGGGCTCACCTAGTCCATGGTGGTGTATGTCAACAAAGCCAGGAGTCACAATATCTGCATAATAATGTGTCTTGGCGCTCTTCACGAGATCAGCCTCCTGATCAAGAATTGCTGACAGCAAAAACCAGTTTCACTCATGAGTCACTGAGCAAATATGCTGAAGGATCCATGAATAATAAGCTTTTTCTTTTATAACATGTTCAAATTTGACAGTATTTCATTTTTCGACCACAGGGGTTTGCTTCATTTCCTTCGATCTGCCTTTTTTTTTTGCCATTTCTTGGCTACAATTGTTACAAGAAGTAAGAATTTTGGAAAACAATAAGTGACAATAAGTGACAACAAAGTGACAAGTGAAGGTAAAGACTTGAAAACGCAAGGGGGCGCCCTAACACGTAACCACTGCGTTGCGCTGGCGTACACTGGGTTAAGTTCTCACCTGCTATCTTGCCGTCTTCGACAATAACATGAATTTTTCCGTCAAGTGTTTCCCCATCTGGTAGGGCTAGCTGTTTGCACGTTATGCAAACAAAGTCATCGTCCATTTCCAATTTTGAAAGAATAAAGCAGACAGGCCCCTAGTTGAAAAATTCTTGAGTTACCGTTCACTCATCATATGTCATGTGTGCGCAGTCGGAGACTGTTATTACTGCGTGACCTTTGACATGAACATTTTTCGGATCTCAATTCATGCTCCACCTGCACCGCGCCTGTGCGCGAATTGACAACGGCATAAAATCTATCCGAAGCAGAAATCAATAAGTAGATTCGTGGTTGATTTCTTGGCGAGACAGAAGGTGTGGATTTTCTCGTCAAATTTGGCTGTTCAGCCAACAGCATTCCCTCCACAACATGAATGCGGAGGTGGAATTCCACATCAGGAATAATTACCCGTGGTCAAAGTTACCAGCAAACGTCAAGCAGGTAATTGCATTTCGAAAAATTTGGTTTCGTCAGCCATTTTTGCGTTTTTGACATTTTTCATGCAGACATGGCAGAAAGAATCGTCCGCAACACTATGTACATGATGTAGCTAGACGTCATCTTGTTACAACTTACACATAGGTGTGTGTTATGTCAAACAATTGTGCAGAATTATGAAGATTTTCTCAAAGTCATTTTGTCATCATGCAATCATACACGTATACGTCATGGGCGTTGAGATTTTTATTTAGCCTTACGTCAAGCTACATGTATTTTTCCCAGAATGAGTTCCATATAATATTATGGACAACACTTTATGCCCCTGCGCACAAACCTAGGAAACTTGTTTCTTAGAGTTTTCTAAGTAAATGCTTTGGAATTTTCCTTGCTAAATTTCACTTTTTGGGACATGTTATCTCTTTCTGAGGGCTGCTAGGCCTATAATATTTTAAGGAAAAATTGGTGTTGTTTGTACATGTATATGGAATTCTTTTCTCTTTCTCTTTTCATCAGTGTTTAAATTAAACTTTAATGTTATTGCTAATGTTAGATATTAAGTAAGTAGTAACTGAATGCATGATGAGTGATAACGTACATTTATTCATGTCTTATGCTTTTCTGTTTCTAAAAACTGCAGCTGAAATAATCACTTAGGCCTATGTGCTTATTTTCCCAAACAATTGCCATTACAATCTCTAAATGTACCACATAGTTTAGTCAATTAAGTTGATTTACAAGATATTAGTGGAATCAGAAGAACAGTGAGGAGGAAAGTTTGCCTTAAAGTCTAACAATATTCACTGCTTGTTTTCACTGATGAAAAATTCATAAAAAGTCTCCTTTTTGATGATGTAAAATACATGTGCCACCTCAAAACTGAGGGCAAGGGAATTGTATTTAATCTATTATGTGTTGTTCTGGTTGAAGTTTAGTGTGGCAGGTTGTCGTTAAATGAATAGCAAACGGTTCGTCCTATCCTTTTTGGCTTTGGAAAAATGAAAAATATAAGAGTGTAATTTTGTTTCTATGAAATTTCACCCTTTTGTGGCAGATATTGGGACAATCACAGAAAGAGTATGAAAAGCTGGTCGTTAATTTTAGCGTCAAGAACCAGCTGCGGTATAAAGGCAACCTTGGTAGGTGAATTCCTTTAAATATCTGAAAAGTTTCCTTTGAAAGTGAAAGTTAAATTGGAATTCTAGATTTAAACTTCTCTTGAAAGTAAAAGAAAATGCAATCTTGCAAGTTGTTTTTATTATTAAAATATATGACTGAAATTCGCGTGATCACTTAAGAAGCAAATTCCGAATCCACAAGATAATTCTGTCAGCCACGTTTAAGCTCTCACATATGAGGACATGTATTATTGAGTGACAGAACAAATGTGCGCTTGACATATACCCCACCTTCTCAAAAAAGATACCGATTCCCTGAGGTTTTGTTTTTCCTGAACGGCATTGATGTATTTTGTTCATGTTCATTTATTTCCACAGTTTAGCATACACACGATCTCAATTTTCAAACAATATATTTGACGCGGGGGGAAAGCCGTGGAGGTACCCACTAAAAAGCGAAGCTTATGTATTACTATACATAATATTAATTACTATGTTGCAAATTTGTTCCAACAGTGCGCACCGTGCGACGAGATGAGAAGAAATACTATGAAGAACTCCTGAAGTACAGCGCCGATCACCTGATGCTGTACCCTTACCATCTGTCAGACATCATGGTCAAGGGGCTTCGAAACACACCCTTTGCCTATTACTTGAGGATGATGCACAGCATTATGTCTGGGGAGAAGAGCTATGATTCTTTACCCAACTTCACCGCTGCCGATTGTGAGTCCATAAAGGACGTTCCTCTTTTGCTTGGAACCCTCCTCAATCCTACAAAATTCTTCAATTCAACTTCCAAGGGGCATCGAACCTACATTTAAAGTAACAATGGTTTCCTCAATCCTACAAAATCCTCCGCTGTGTAGGAAACCATTGGTGCCTTATTTGTGTTTGAACTTTCAAGGGCACGAAGGCTTTGTGCTATTAAATTAGCAGTGGCTGGCTTTTCCATCCTCAATCCTGCAAAATCCTCCGATGTTTCATGGTGGGTTTTCCATGATTGGCAGCTGTTTCCCAAAACTTTACGTAATGGTGTTATCTCACTTAAGCAATAAAGAATGACAAGTTTTGTAAAAGTTACAGTATAACTTTCCCCAAACTGATTTTGACTTATATACAACATTGGAAGACAAAGGCAACACACTTTGAAATTCCTGACCTTTTTTCTCTTTTATTTAGGTTTACGACTCCTGGGCATCGGGCGCAACCAGTACATAGATATCATGAACCAGTGTAGGTCATCTAAGGTAAGAAATATCTGAAATATTTCTGAACTCCCTGCCACAATTTCAGATAGATGCCTGCTGTGACAAAAGCCTTGTGCCAGCAATCTTGGCTATTTGGTCTCTGACTGTCTGTTATCTTTCATTCTGCAATGCATTCTGAAATCCTGCTGCTTCAGTGGTTTACAAGTTTATCGGCCCGTGAAAGAAGGCGCTGTTTTTGAATTGGAGAATCTGCCCCGAGCTGAAGTGCGCCCCCAATCGGCGAAAGGAAGACAGATGGTTAAAACCAGGTTCTTGCACGTGGTCTGCGTTTACTCAAACACCATACGCTCTGGACTTTGTTGCGCATACTCAGCGTGCTCTGTGTCAAACGCGTATAAACTTGCGCCCCTACATGGTGAGTTGGTACCAAAAGGACTGTCAATTACATTTAAAAAGCACGCCCTCGTTTGCTCTGCTCGGAGTGGATATATCGCAGTTCTTTTAATCCAAGGAAATGTTATGCTGTTCAGCTTCCATGCCTTGCTACAGCCGTGAGCACTTAGTTCTTTATTAACTCTTTCTTGCCGTTTCCTGCATACGCAGGTTTTCTGCCTCGGCTTTGCAAAACAGTTGAGGTGATTCATTTTTACTCGGCAAGGTCTCTGGCTTGGATCTGCACTTGTCTGTTGGTTGGTCGGTTGGTCGGTCTGCTTGTCTGAATGCATCTGTTTCTTCGTTGGTTCTCATTCTTATGCTTAACATACCTATTGCACTGCTTTACAGCCATCTCTCAGTCGAAGTGGGAGCTTCAATGTAAGTCCGCCCTCTTAAATGTGCCTTGCCACGCCTCTCTGTAAATCAGACTCTTGTGTAACATTGCATGCTGTGCTGTAAGCAATGTAGATGGTGCTTTGGTAGCAACAAATGTGCAACGCGATTCACCATATTGGGCACTGAAGTTGGACACTTATTCTCAAGGCATTTTGAAAGAGATTGTCAATACAGCTTCAACACGAAACTGCATTTGAATAGTAAGCACCATGAATTCTGAGTGTGCAGATACAATAGTTTCCTGGGTTTCATGGCTGAGGGAAAACTGTGGTTTTTTTTCCCCCTAGCTATTGCAGGTTTCTGCTTCACTGCCCATTCATGATGAACAATGGGATGTTTTTTTTTGTAAGTCATTTGTGTTTATTAGACCAGTCAAAAATTTTGGTTTTCTCATTTTGAGTGTTTAGAGAGTGGATATTATTTTACTAGTTTACATGTATAACTGTTTTATGGCTTCAGATTATCACGTCTATTGTGATAAAGATTGGTTAGAAATTATGGCATCATTCCGTCTACTTGTTCATGTTCAGTGAAGTTGTGTCTCGAGAATGTATGGGCACGTTTGTGTTATGCATGCTTTGTATGAAGTCATGTGAACATTAAGATTTATTGGCTAAATTTTGTGGGTTTATGTGTGTGTGTCTGTTTTTTTCTTGAAGAAATTCTTCCGTCGCCGTCCGATCAAAGACCTCTTGCCGGTCAAGCCGGTCGACAGTGTCATCCTGGAACCGTGGTGGATTGTGCAAGCCGGGTACATCACGGAGGACGACATCAAGGTAGGCAGAGCAGACGTTGATTCTTACGTGGGTCTTCAGGATCCGCTGTTTTGGATTTATCGTGAATGGTTCATTGGGTTTGTCGGTTGGAAAATGTTGAGGTTTTCATCTTGTGTCTTCACATTACTTTCCCAGAACAGGGTTTAATACTCCCTATAAGTTTTTCCCTTGGATATTTGAAACTCTGCTGTGCTGTGCTACCTAAAGTCTGTTCCAGTTCAATATGGCTCATCAGGCTTGTTTTACCTCCGATTTCCTTGACATGAAATGACTAAGAATATGTCTATCCCCCCGTCCCCCAGATGGGATGCCAGTCCATCGCAGGTTGCTACCAGCTAATGCTGGTACCCATTTGTTCTCTTTGGTGGAGAGAGGCAAGTTACGGTAAAGTGGCTTGCCTAGGAACACAACCTGTCGCCAGCAGCTGGATTTGAACCCCTGACCCTCTGATCAGGAGTCACAACCTCTAACCACGTGGTCACGTTCCCCTTTTTGGGATAATGACGGGATCATTAATTTCATGAAAGTGCGTGCATTACTATGGAAATCGTTCTGTACGATTCTTGTTCCATTCTTCACAGGCGGTATCCATTTCAGAGAAAAACACCATCGATAAGATCATCGATGTAGGCGCCCAACTAGCGGGAACCTTGGATTACTACATTGCACATAGTTAGTACAGAAAAATGAATAATCAAGAAAATTCATATTTTTACGCATATCTGCTTTTAACAAAAGTATTTTGTTCAGTGACTTTTTATTTATTTTTGCTTTTGTAAGCCAAACAAGTTGGAATAAAAGATAAACTAATATGTATCGGTGTCCTGAAAGTTTTGTCAACATTTCCCTCCAGATTTTGTCAAGTAGCAGTTTTTCACATATTTGCTTATTCCTAGAACTGTACACAAAAGGCCTTGTTTACATGGATGTGCCTATTGAAGATGACGACTGTATCATTGGTAAGTTCTCACAACATTTGAAGCATACAGCATGCTTCTTTCAAAAACCGTTGTTTTCCTATTGTGTTTCAAAGATTGCATTTTCAAATTCCACACCAGTCAAATTGTTTTGTTCATCTTTAAAATCATTTTGTAACCAGCTAGTCAGTTTCCCGATTTGGTTTATTCAACAACCGCTTTTCAAGAAAGAGAAATTTAGTTACTTCAAAAAGATGTCATGGTATTTCAAACGTTGATTTATCACTTTAACTTCATGGTCCTAACGTTGTTGTCGTCCCCAGTTCCCCCACTGGAAGGATTTGTCATGAATCGCCTTCAAGGTGACTACTTCGAGACGCTCTTGTACAAGATCTTTGTGTCGATAGACGAGCATACCACCGTGGCTGAGGTAATGCTATGCACATACCTTGTCAAAATAACCTTACCCTCAAAATATCAATTACCTGTAACTTGTGGCCTGGGCCCAATTCACTTACCGATCCAAAATAATGTGTTGCTTTGTAAATTTTAAATCATGTACACGTAGTTGAGGATCTTTTACAAGAATGCCAAAAAAGTTTCGATTTAAAAAAATTTTTTTTTTCTGGTTTTTCTTTCCTGGTCAGATGTTGTTTTGATATTATGGTGTTGTTTTCCTTCTACATTACATCATGAAAAACTTCATCGAAATGATGGTTTTTTTCGAGACAAAATCAATCCCTTTTTAACCTCTCAACCTGTGTCCTAGTTTTGTTCTTTTCCTTCAGACTTTCATTCATAAGATCATTCAGTATTCGATTGATTGTCCTTTTCCTGGTAGCTATCCAATGTTCTCCAGATCGATCTCCAGCTGGTCAAGAACGCTGTCTCCATGTATTGCCGCTTGGGTTTTGCCAGGAGGAAGGGTCAAGAACTAGACCCCGAGGCCTTGCATCCGTCGTGGCAGGACGCAGAACAAAACACTTCCAAAAAGTAAGCCTTTCACTCAACTGAGCCAGAAAATATACTTTGTAAGAATGTGTACTCTACATGTACATGTAGGCCCCTACCCCTTTCTTTTGAAGGGGGAAGGGCTAAATGTCTTTTCCTTGCCGCTGTCCAAAATCAACCTTTATGAAAGTGAAGAACTTTTGGGTGGAGTGCATGTGCTGTGCTTGTGCAGGGGGAGGGGCTGAATAACTGTAAAGAAAGGGGGCAAGCCTACCTTCCTCCATGTTCTTCAATTGCTTTCCAACCTACGTCAATTTTCATTGCGTCTAATGAACTGGTTTACCTTTACCAATTGGCCTTGTATTTGATGAAGTATTTGATGTTATTTCAGGTGCCAATTACTATCTTTTCCCCTTTCCTTACTAATTTCTACTCGTAAGTGGAAAGAGGCACATGCTGGTATTAGTAAAGTGACTTGCCTAAGGTCACAACATGTTACCACCTGCTGCATTTGAACCCCCAACCCTCAGTTTGGAAGTTGCAAACTCTAACATAGTATTCTATAATTTTCTCAACATCCTCAACCAGGTTTTCTGACTTTTTTTTCGGTAGGGCCATCAGCGATGACCTCCTCCTGATTGACTGGAGCTCCACCCCCCAAGAGGCCAAGGTCTCCCCCACAGACAGCCAGACAGCCATCTCGGACTCGGCCAGCATCGAGGACTCGGAGACCTCATCATCTGGGATCATCAGCAGCGTGGGGTCGGGCCACAGCAAGCGCATCGCGTTCCTCTTCGACTCAACGCTGACGGCGTTCCTGATGATGGGCAACTTGTCACCGGTGAGCCGATCGTCGTCCCAGTCATCTGGCTACGGCTGAATGTAACACTGGCCCCTATGGGAGCCCCTAAGTAGCGGCTACAATGACTGCCATAGACAGCCATTTTACTCCTAGCCATAGTCAGTTAACTCACTCTTAAACAAGAGGCTGGTTCATACTTCAAGCAAACATAAAAGCGAAGCGAATTTAACATACCCAAAACTTTTTCATCAAAATTCACTTTGAATTCAGTTTGAATGGGTTCAAAAATTCGCAGCAGAAATATTTGATCTGAGGTGACAATTTGGCATTTGGTTTCACATTTACGCCAATCATGAACTTTTTTCACCCACGTTCTTAAACCTTAAGGTTAAGGTGCAGGTATGTCCCATTCTTCTAGTTCAGCAAACAAGAGTGTGTGTATGGAACACGAAAAAATATACACCTTTTGAATTGTTTCAAATAAAGCAGCATACACGTATATTTTAACCCTAGGGTGTGTGCAAAGTCATATTAAAATTGGAGAATTCAGGGCTGTTAGGGTTAAGTTCCCTACTTAAAAAATTGCATTACTAACATTGTGTTTGCTTTCCTGAATATGGTGAACTGTCGAATTTGTTGGCGGATGTGGTCTTTTCATTAATTAGATTTTATGTGATTTTATGTTCTCTGAAATTTGCTTTTGAAATTGTGCTTCCTAAAGTTTGCATCTTGGTTCAGTGTCTGTTTGTTTAGGCATCATTGTGTGTCTGTGTGTTGATTATTTTCTTTTGATTTATTTACACCGTACAGTCCCTGGACGTTAATCTTTTTACGGTATGTAAATCAGGGAGTGCGCATGTAGAGAATACTCGCGCTTTGGTGATGGCTTCTGTCTTGGTACATGGGTGGTTTTTTTCCCCCCAAGACCGAGAATCATTCTTGATTTGCCCCTCTGCTCTGTCGCAATTCATGTGTTCATCTTCTCTTTCTCTAACATGAACCTGATGCCATCAAAAGTTTAAGCACAAAGAATGCACCTTTGAGTTCCCTCAAAATTGCTAGGTTGTTAGCAGAAAAGTGTAGGTGCTTAGGAATACATGCTTTATATGCAAAGGCAAAAAAACTTAGCAAAGTAACGGCAAAAAAATAGTTGAGCGTAGCCTACCGTACCTTGTGTTGGTACACATGTACGCAGTCTGGTACACATGGTTTGACTGTGGCTCCTTCATTACTACGTGTATTTTCAAAACTGCACTTGGGGTATTATTGACAGATTCTGCACTCCATAGCACTGTGACCACAGAGCGGCACTGCACAAAATGGATGGTGGTTGATAATCAACCATTATTGGAGGAATTTTCATGACTGCTTCAAAATCTGGGAGATTGAGGATTTAAATAAATAAAAATTTATTGCATGTGATCAAAATCTTCGAGTAGTAACCGTGGCGTAGATACTTGGAATAATCATTTCGGGAATGAGCCAATTTCCTTCCCCTTTGCATTCCTGATCATGCTCGTGAATTGAGAAAAAAATATGGTGACATTTCACAGTGCTTCCTTTGTTCCACTGTGAAAGATTTATGCACTGAAATTCCATAATCTCTGCTCATGGTTAGCACAGTTGTGCGTTGAGTTATGTTTAATTGTTTGACTGTAGGGTTTGAAGAGTCATGCTGTGACGATGTTCGAGGTGGGCAAACTCTCGGATGAGTCTTTGGAGAGTTTCCTGATGGAGTTAGACAGAGTGAGTGCTGAGTGTTTTTGAGTTAGGGACTCATCGTGGATGCTCTGTGGAGTTTCCCAAAAGTACCTCACAATGAGTGAAATTTACTTTAGCTTGAGCCTAGATGTGTAATTGTTTTGGAACCCACATTCTCCATGAAATGGTAAATTATCGGACAGATATTCAGCCAAGTTCACCTTTTCCATAAATTCACACTGAACGGCTTTGTTTCGGCTGCTTCTGCTATGCCATGAAACCTACCAGTATCAAGTGTTTTCTCACTAGCTCCAACAACTTACTTATTAAAAAGACCAGACATTTTCATATTGTAATGATGAATATTAGGGGGGTTTGCTGGTCCAGAGAAAAACAAAACAGGTCCATGTTTGAAAAATGAAAAGATGGATTTTGACTGTAAAAAACACAGTCTTTTGACATGAGGATTTCTACAAAGACAAAATTGAAATTGGTGTTTTGGTTATGATAAGTGATTCGGGGGCTCCAGCAGCTGCTATCCCAGTCTAATGTGTTTTCCATGCTTGAAGAAAAATTGGTCATTTTCTTGATTTCTTCGTCTTATAGGTGCCTATCAATAGTGTTGCAGAGGGCGAAGCACAGAGGTACTTTGAGCACGCCGTCACCCTCAAGAACACAATCACATTCCTTAGGTGAGATGTTCCTCAATTTGTAGAAATCCTGGTTCTTAAAAATGCATCGGGAAGTTTTTAAAGGATTGTGTAGGATCAAGGAAGGTAGAGCCCAGCTACTGTTACCTTATGTAGGGCTTGATGCTTGATCTGCCATTGGTTTCCTATGCAGTGGAGGATTTTGCAGGATTCAGGAAAATTCCTTTCAAGAATGCTCAGGGAGTTGAGGTTAATTCATGGCTCCTGAATGCAACCTTAGTGGAATGCGGCCTACTGGTTGACTTTCATAAGTCATGATTAGGGATTCAATCCAGCCATAGGTCATAGGTTGTGACCTTAAGCAAGCCACTTTATCCCAACTTGCCTCTCTCCACCTGCCAACATCTATAGGAGTATAAATGGATTGGCATCCCCTCAAGAGAGGATAGAAACATCCTCAGCCCAGGAAACCAGAGATCAGCACTGGTCTGACAGGCCACATCAGCTTGGAATGGGCCCATCTCAGTAGCTTTCTCTCACTTTCTTCCTCCAGGTATAACAAGAACATCAGTCCAGATTTGGAGCGGTACGGCAGCGGTCTGGGCATCGACCTGCTACGGTGCGAGAGCCTGCTGGGTCTGGACCCGGCCACCTGCTCCCGAGTCCTGCAAAAGAACTACGAGTGAGTGTTGAGTGAGACCACTGGGTCTGTCTGCAGCTTGCGCGCAAGCCTGCCCTCAGTGGTAACAAATGGAGAGGCTACAATGGCTGCAACGCGCGGAAGCAGCAGATTTGTTTTATCACTTATGAATAGAAAGTTCTAATTTGACTCTTTTTACAGGTCAGTTTTGAAGGGTTTTTCTGATCGAAAATTAACTGATTGTAGGAACAACTGATTTTCGGAAGCCAAAAGAGAAATTTCTGCAAGTTAATTTCCCAGGAAACTAATATGTTTGCCCTGATGATGTCATAAAAACTATATTTTCCAGGTTATTGGTCTCCATGGCGCCGCTGAGCAATGAGATCCGGCCCGTCAGCAGTTGTGTCCCACAGCACATCGGGCCAGCAATACCAGAGGCAAAGATTTAACCTTGGTTTTTTTTTAAAAAGTTGCACCATGTCGGTACGTGTGTACAAAAGTGCTCCGTCTTTGCCAAACAGGACTTGTAGTTGTGATGGGCCAGTCGCCGAGAAACGGTCATCAAACTTCAAGGAACTTCATTCTTACCCCCATATTATTTCTGAGATAATTTTTTGTGAAATTTTAAATTTAGTGTCAATTCACATGTGTCATGTTATTGGGCATTTTCTAGACACGCAGAGAGTGTTACTGATGTAAAAATTGTTAAAGTCACTGAATTGTATACATTTAGCAGTGGCAGAGCTCATTTTTCATCTTGTGGTCCTGTAAACAGGTGAACTCAGTCTGGTTCAAGCTGTACATCTACCATCTGGTCAAAAACGGCCCGCCAACGTTGCTCCTAGTCAAGGGAACAAGGTTACGCTACCTGCCTGATATGTTCCAGGTCAGAAATACAGATCACAGCCACATCTTCAAAACTGAAACAACCATCTTCAAAATCATGCCAAAATTTGCCCCAGTTAGACAGAAATTTCAACTTTTTTGCACTCAAAATAGCGAAATGGGTATTAAGTCCTTCGAGTGCAAGGCCTGCGTAAATTAGTACGAACCCTCGAAATTTTCTCCCACATGATGCTGGTTTGTACGAGGATGGTGAACCGAGTGGTACAGGAAAATAGAGCTCAGTCGGCTCTTTCCTATATGGCCTCAAGATTCATTTTGTAGGATTTAGTATGCACATTTTTGTGTTCGTTTGTTTTCTTTAGGAATACGACAGGCTGCTAATTACGACCTGGGGTCACGACCCCGGATTGGTAGCCACATCCAATGCCCTACTAACAATCAACGACGCCCTCGCTCACTCGGCCGTCCTGATACAGGTTAGTGTATTAACTCCTTCCATTATTTTTTTAAAACTCACCTTGATTCACTTTGCTCATTTTGTCATCATCCATAACTTGTGCTGAAGGTTTTTATGTCAGGTATGGAGGTCTTCTGACACAGGTCATGTAGGAGTAAAACAAGCAGTCAAAAATGTACTCGCTCACAACCGGTTGCCTGAACAAGCTGGAGAAATATGGCTTATTCTGAGGGGGGGGGAGCATGTGGCCCCTCCCCCCCTTCCCGGACTTCTCTGCTGATTCTGTTGGAATGACTTGCATCCTAAATGCCTGAAGAGTTTTTCTAAAAAAGAATCATCTCTAGCTCCACATAAAGAGTCTAGTTCCATTCCACATAAGTTATCCAGTTTTGAGTTGCATGCTTTTCAAATTAACCGTGACAAAACCATTCCTTTGCCATTGTTGAGCCGTCATCAGTCCTCATAACTTGTGATTTGGACATGTTATAGATTCAGTGATATCTTTTGATATTATCTTTAATATTATCTTTCGATTTCAAGGGCCACGGCTGGGTGACGGACGGTAGAACATTCCACATACCCTTCCCTCTATCCGAAGACCAAGACAAAGGTCAGGAGATAAATTGAATTTTACTCTAATCCATTTTGATTTCATAAAGTTCAGATTTAATCTCTTTTGCCCCATGCAAAAGTAACAGTGGCTGGGCTCAACCTCCTTCAATCTTGCAAAATCCCACACTATGCAGGAAACAATGGCGTATTCTCTGCACTTTCTAGCACCCAGTTCCATGCATTGTAATAGTGAATGGACACTCCTTTCAAAATCCTTCAAAACCTGGTAGATTTGAAATGGTGGATTTTTGGAGTGGTTCATTGATTTCAATTTTGCAGGTGGCTCCACCTTAGCTTGGATGGAGCGCCATCCTGCCGTCTCTGCTCTTGCCAAAATCCTGGATCTCAGGCACACCTGTGGCTACATCACCCTCCTCAACTCAGGCAAACCCCAGGACAGAATACCCAAGGGACACCCCACGTCACACCCTACAACAGACGGGGTGACGGAACCCCTTCCAGAGGGAAGAACAACAGCCGCCACGGCAGAACAGAGCAGAGACTTGACAGACTCAAACCTAGCAGTCGCGCAAGTCGCGAAACAATCGCTGACGCTGCCGGTCAGCTCCCCGATGCATGATGGGAGTGCCAATTGCCATGGCAATAAGTTCAAGGATGCTGATTGGTCACTTTTGGGAGTCTGTTTTGGTATCCCCCTGTTTGGGGACGAAATCAACAGGATGGTGTGTGCAAAAGTTGCCAAGTTCGGACTCTGCCAGAGAGAAAGGTGAGGGACTTTTCACAAATGGTTTTGGGTCATTCCATGAGGTTGGGGCACAATTTGTAACGGTGTCCTTGTTACATGGGTAACTTTTACCACCTGTCATGACCTATAGAGTTGGTCATTCACTCTGTAAAAATAACACACACCTCTGTATTCAGCCTTGTAAGATGTATAACGATGTCAATTTTGGAATCCACAGGCAGGGAAATGGCTGTTCATTTCTACGGAACCCATCTAACAATTGACACCGTCACAAATTGTGCCCCAACTCATGGAATGACCCTTTTATGTATTTTTGGTTTCACCTCCAAATAATTGAAAGGGGTTAATAAGTTCACCCATCCACCAAAAACATGACAGTGGATGAAAGCTAAGACCACATATACCATGCACCTCAGTTTTTTCAGAGAGTCAAAAACAGTACCCAAATCTTCATTACACTTAAAATTATCCCATACACTCTTTTTTAACCCTTATTAACAATAGTTTATAGAGGACGCAGATATTTTGGACGAAATTTATGATCGTGATGCTGATTTTGTTCTTTTGCGAATTTCCTCTCCCATCTCATGTTTTACTCCTAGCCTTTCACAGCTGCTGCACAGCAGTCGAAAGTTGTCTCTGTATCTGCTGAACTTCATCGCTGAGCAACAGGTAGGCACTTAATCCGATGTCTAGTGAAATCTGATCTTTGGGAGATGTTACTGTGAGAAAATCACGGATATAATCGGGAAAAACTTTGTTTTTCTATTGTGTAGTACACAGTGCTTTGCTATTTTGAACTGAAATGACACCATACCAACTAGGAACTAAAACTTAGACAAGAACTTAAAGGAGAAGAAATTTTAGTTGTTCAATTCTGATGTGTTGTTTGAAGATTCTGTTTAATTGGATGTTGTGAAAAGAAAGGCTTGAGGGTTTCATGTTAGCCGTGTCCAAAATGATTATTGTTGTCTATGGCTATGGCTCTGCACCATAGTAATACTAATGATTTTTTTATGGACGTCGCCTGACACAAAGCCCCAAGAGGCCACTCCGAGAGAGGGCTAAATAGCAAAGCTAAGGAAGAAAACGTAGAGCATAAGACTTTTTGAAGGAAGAAAACATGACCTGAGACAGGTTATAAGAAACAGGGAAACAGGATGCAGGTAAGGAGTTACAAAGCGAGACAGTACATGGGAAGACACTGGATGAGTGCCTCGCGGTATTTGCTTTAGGGACATGAACTAATCATTCATAAATAAAAACGATCAATTTATAATGTACAGATAATGAATCAATGCCAAATTATGATAAAGACATAGCCATTAGATACCATTTCAAATGCAGTTTTACTCACTCAAACCAGAACCAGTCACAGTTACCAACTTGTTAATCCTCTGACTGTTGTATCTGTTGCCAACAGGACATGCCCGTGGTACCAGACCTCCCGCCGGAAGCTTCCCTCCCATCCTCCCCGTCCGCAGTCTCCGCCCCTTCCCTGCCCTACCCCACCAGGAACTTAGCATTCATCAACAACAAGCTCCAAGTCTGGAACGCCAGCTGAGTTTTAATTTTCCCTTTACGATCACCGTACTCCATCCCAAGGTTATACATAGCCCTAAATACCAACCCTATGGGGTCGGATAAAGTATTAAGACAGGCGCTGTAAGTTTGTTGGAAAAAAATGAACTCACGGAAAATTTAGTTCCGAAAATGAACACCCTTTGACCAGAATCCAGCCATAGCGCATGAAGGAATCAAATTTTAAACTGTTATTTTCTGTTGGTCAAAACTGGCGGTACATTTTGACAGCTGTCTGTCCAACAATTGACCCAATTTTGTGTCTATAACTTTACGTAGCATGCTGCAAGTTCTAGGATGGTACAGTATACGCCTTCTTGAGAGATGGCATTCAAAAGTAAAATCTTCCATCTTCTTTCTTGGCAACTCTTGGAGAGGATCAACGTGACAGTCTCTGTGAAACGGTTCTCCAGTGTTTTGTACATTCTGTAGTCACTCCCTGTGCACGTGAAACAAGGAGGACCGACTCTTTGCAGGGCTTCCAAATGCCGAGTAAGATTTGAATAGACAGTTGGAGCTCTACATGCCTGCTGTGGATGTAGACATCACACAAAATGTGTTTGACGTCACTGGCACTTCAACAAAAGCCAATCCAGTTGTTTGTTTCTTATTAGAATTTCGAATAATAATAATATCCAAGCATTTGTAAGGTGCACAGTAAACAATGTCTGCAATTCAAAGGGGAGAGTATAATTTTATTATCATTATCGCAACACATTGGGCTCACGTCATCTGAACATTCCTGAGACCATCTCAGCTCCCTGCGGAGTATACTAGTTGATGCTGCCATATCAGGCGCAAAACCCTAACCGTAACTGTTTCTACCGTCACGGGTACCCATTGGCACCTGGGTAAAGTGACTTGACCAAGATCACAACATGATGCCACCAGCTGGATTTGAACTGCCCGACCCTATGACCAGGCATGTGGCCTAGTGGTTTTGGGGTTTGTAGCTTACAAAATATGGAATACATGTATACAATTTGGCTAATGAAGGGTTAAGCTGAATGTTTTTTATTTCCTTCATTTGTTTTGCATGAGGAATTCCATCTTTGCAGTGAGAGCATTGAATAACCTGAGATGTATGATTCTCAAACTTAATGCATGAGATTTCACAGCCCTTTTTTCGGATTAATGATTGACCATTCCCATTAACAATGAAAAACAAATGGACTAGGAGCTGAATTCGTAGGGTGAAAATTATTTAGGGGGCACTTAAAAATAGTTCAAACAGTTCTTTGCAAGAGTATAGAATTTTGTTTTGAACCTTTGATTCAATTCTCAATTGGCTGGTTGGGTTCTGGCAACCTTCCATTTCCAAATATTAAAAAACCCATATGTAACAATAGTTTTTTGTAAATATGCTAAATTATATATTTTATTTGATTTACACATAATTGGAGCATAATTCACAATTAGTCGACTTAAATGACAAATGCCACTCCAAAATGCAAATCGTAACGTCACAAAAATAGCCAATTGCTAATTACTTTAGTTATTTTTTAGAAAGAGAATTATACAAAGTATTTTTGTTGAATTAAAAATTAAATTGCATGCATGAAGAAACCCAAAATTTAGAAAAACAGAACACAAAAAATCACAAGGGTAAATATGTTGACAATTCATTTAAACATCTGTGTTTTTGATCATTTTCCTATAGACCTTTTAACCCCACATGGCTGGATTGCTCTAAATGTCACCACGTGTGGACCTTCTTGGCCACGGTGATTGCATATATTCCTACGGGCAGCTTCAACCACGTGCAAGCGCATTTGCGAACGCTGCATGCTTGACTAGTTTATCTTGAATAAGTAGATTATTTCATTAACATCACAACACAAAGTAGTCCAGCATGATTGTGACATCACAGGAAGAAAGGTGCATAGAGCTGTGTTGACAAATGTACTTCAGACTGGTGTTTTAAATGAGACCATTAGAAGACCAGTCACAAGACCATTCACAAGATCAGTCACAACACCAGTCATCAGACCTTTCACAAGGCCAGTCACAAGGCCAGTCACAAAACCAGATGCAAGACCAGTCACAAGACCAGTCACAAGACCAGTCATAATACCAGTCCCCAGACCAGTCACAAGATCAGTCATAAGACCAGTCACAATATAGTCACAAGACCAGTCATAATACCAGTCCCAAGACCAGTCACACGACCAATCATAGAACAGTATGAACAATGACAAAAGAATGTTTTTGTTGCCATTCATTTCAAGTTAGACTGAAGACCTTGTACTGGTCCTTGGTCTGAAGAGGTCACAACAACACTGATTCTACCATGTCAAATGTGGACAAATGGAAGCATTCGGGTATACGTCAAAAGAGTTATGCAAAAAAGTCCAGATATTCGGAAAAGGGCTCATTTTGGCACACTGTGTATTGTAAGTATGCACACACTCGCCTTTCTGCAGTACATCGTGTATTTGGATGTACATGTATGTTTGAGGCAAAACCGGGATATCAACCAAGGGTACTATATCTGCCAAACTTGGCCACCCTTACCGATAGTAGACATTACGAGAGGGGCTTATCGGTGACATTATTTATCACACCCTCTGATAAGGAGCCACAAACCGAAACCATTTTTTCATACACCCAAACTTGTGTGGCACAGTCTGATGTTACATATGTTTAAGTTTACGGCATTTAGTCAACTCCTAGCTGATATTTTTTGTTTGTATTTTTATGAGAAATAATTAGAAATTCAAATTCAACTGTTTAAATCATCAATTGTTAATTTCTGACCAGGTATCCTTCAAGTTATCCCCAAGGTATATGTATAAAAAAATATTTCAAATTGAATGTTTATTATACTGTCCCCTGGGGATGAGAAAAAATATCAGTTGAATGCATCACTTAACAGAGAGTAATCATCATTTTCACAGTCCTCAGCGGACAAGTTTTTCTTCAGATCTGTCCGAAGAGGTACATGTACGCTGTGACAACCGGAAAACTTTAAAAATGCTCAAAATGACAATGAAAATCTTTGCCTGTTTTTTTTTCGTTGTAGAATAACGTGTTGAATATTACATGTTGAATATTACAAGTTATGTTTATTTATGAACGCAGTTTTTGAGAGTACAGCGCACTTTGCAATAATAAAACTGATTAATGTAAATGATGGCATTTTTTATGAATATTGATTTGTTTGGGTATCTGTCTGAAAATTTTGGAATATAATTTCATGTTAGAATACATGTCATGCAAGCCCAAATCGGTACACAGCGCACCTGCTCTGAGGATATTCACAACGCTCTTTTTCCCCGGAGTAACTCACAAGGCCACATGTATACCTTATTATGTTGCTCTGACGACTGTTTAAGCCAAATAACCAAGCCAATGTGCTATTCCCGCCAGCAGATTTCAAACTTCAGTTGAGTCTCGGCAGACATTATATCTAATATGTAGGGCCTACAGGCGAAAAAGAAATTTGCGACAGCTTACAACAGCTATTTTATTCAACAGCAACAGCGACAGCTATTTTATTCTCAGCTTACAGCTGAGAATAAAATTGTTCAAGCGAAGCTTGTCCACGGCTTCCTGGCATTGCCTTGAACGTTTTTTCCATAACGCATGAAACTTCATTCTTTACACACGGACTTGATTCGAGTAAATATCCAGTCACCGTATAAACATGCATGCTCCTGTATCGATCAACTCGTCAATTTGTAAAACCTGTCGAGTTTAAGTTGAAAAACATTCACTCAAGCACAAACTTGGTACTTAACTTACTTGTTTTTTTTTTACCATAACACTGAAACAGTTCATAGAACCAAAGGGTTCCTATTATTCACACTGTACAAGTTTCTTTGAAATGTCTTGAACCCAGCGAAACTGGTCACATTTCCAGCTCATTTTATATAGTTGGGCCATGTACAAATCTGTACTCATAACTGATGTATTTTTTTAGTGCCCCGTGATACATGCAAAAGTAGGCCTGCTTCACTAAGCCAGCAGATTTTGTTAGCAGGCCAACTTCTGACACCTGACCTCAGGGATAATCTTGAACAAGGAGCTAACCAATGTCCCAGTGGGCACACGACGTGCTAAATGTAATGAGATTGCAGAGAAATTAATGAAAAAACTAAATAATAACGTTACCATCAAATAAATGTAAAAACCGGATCCGGTTTGATAAACCAGTTTTTTTAAAACTGTAAAGCAAAATGCCACCCTTAGAAGCATGCTGGTAACACATTATAATATATTATAATAACACCTGAATTACATATTACGGATGTGTAATGTGTTGGATGGCGTCCACGACCCAGACAATTGCTTCCCTTGTGACCCCTGACCATCATGGATTTTTACCGTAGATAATACATAACAGACGATTTTATCATAAATCCTTGGGTCGGGGAACCGACCACGGACCTTAGTCAATAAAAAAATATCTATGATGATGTACACATGCACAAACTGGCTTTCCTTGGCCACAAAAACTTCAGCGGCCCATTAAAATGTACACGGGGACAAATTTTATTGTCCTTTTTCTCGAATGTTTCGCAATTTCAGTGTTGTAGTTTAAACGAGATAGTTCTTTTATTATAATTTTATCACCCCTTTAAAGGAGTGGAACAAGCACACGGGCCGCAGTACGCACGCGTCGCAAAGACCCATGCATAGCGCCGTGCCCACGGTGCTAAATTACTTTCCCAAGCCAGCATATTTGTTAGCAGGCAAACCTTTGACCCCTAAACCCGTTACCTTGAACAAGGAGCCAGCCAATGGCTCCTCTCGTAGTTTCTGGTCGCCGAGGCCGTCATTAGAAGTTGTTACGTAGAGAGTATCTAAGTTCTTCCCTCCAAAACAGCATGAAGTCACATACGAACAGGGGAAACGGACAGTCTGCAACTTTTCACCTGGAACAAATTAATAAAAAAATAATTGATCAATTAAATCCAATCATCAAAGGATGTTTTTACGTGTTTGATGACATTTTACATGTCAAAATAAAACTTCAGGTAAAAATAAAGATATTTTGCCCAGACAGCCCCGTAGTGTCATAAATCACGAGAAAGCAAAAGAAATCCTACAAATAAGGAAATTGTCTTTCACCATTTCGACATTTAGGCCTAAAGCATGCATGACATATCAGGTAAGTCACATTCAGACAAATCTGTATTGACGTTGGCTCTGTCAACAGGTGAAATGAAATATTTCACAGGACCAAAAATGCCTTCAAGCAACATGGATATTGTCTTACAGCTTGACGGTAGGACTTGCTTCACTGAATTATTGGTTTGGTAGGTTTTTTAGGGTTCCTCAATATCCAGTTTAAAAACTGTACTCATTTGCGCTGTGCGAATCACGTTTCTGCATGAAGATGCTAGTTTGGTATTTCAACAAGGGAGGTCTTTCGAGAATAATGCACATTACGTCACGCCAGATAATTTCCACATGTTTAGTGTGTGAGTCGGCGTACGGATAGGGCCAACCTCGATTGCCTATGAGTCGGCGTACGGATAGGGCCAACCTCGATCGCGTGTGGATTATTTACGTTTTTCGAGTGAACTATGGGGCTCTTTGTTTTGAGCAAGCGCTGTTGAACTCCTCAAACAGTGGCTCAATTCCAAGACTACTTCATGCTGTTTCTCAAGGTAGTGTACCTGTTTGTGGGTTGTAACGATTGACTTTTGACCCGTCGAAGCAAGCAACCCACAGCATGCCCTCCGTGTCCATTGTCATTCCATCAGGAAAGCCTTCCTGATTCGGGATCTCAACGGCAGGTCGCCGATTGCCTGAAATATTGGTCAAATTAGATAAGAAATGAGCAAGTTTAAAAATTGTGGACATTCAAAATTTTAAGAAAACCATATTAACTTCTTAACCTATTTAGCTGGTGCTACCCAAAACTACCTGCGCCTTTTATGGTTAAATATTTAAAAAATACAACTGTTATTATTATAAGTTGATAAGGCACATTAATGAGATGATTAAACTCAATTAAAAGTCTAGTTTAGGGGACATGCATGTATTTATTCTTTTCCTTTTTCCTCCTCCAAGAGTGTACAATTAAACAGATAAAAGAACTTCTGTGATGGATCTGTTATCACCATTTTCAATATTTAAGAATTGCTCTACGTGGCTACAAATTAACCTCCACTCCCACTGCACGGGTTTTCGTGCTTGTGAAAGTGATCATAAAAAATGAATGACCCAAGGTAAAAAGGATCTTTTTGAAAACGAAGATTAAAAATTTAAGACGATTCTTACTTAACCCTCCTGTTTCCAAGCAGTAGTCGAAAGCATCCACTCTGCCCGACAGAGAGTCGATGTAATACATCGTCCTGTAATCATGGCTCCAACACATCCCGTTAGAGATGTCCACACCATCGACATGTTTGGTCACAGACCCGTCTCCGTCGAGACGGAAGAGGGAGCCCTGTTTGGGCTTGACTTTCGTGGGCGTTTCCAGAGGCCCGACTGTCCCTGCCAAGAAAATATTGAATGGCAAAAATTGAAACCTTTCTCACACCCCCAGTATGTAAAACCACACTCACAGTTCTTTCAATTTTGCAGACACCGTCCTTAGTGGGTTACCTTAGGCGTCGAGGGGTGGGGATGAGCAAGGGGTGCTTTAATACCCCCTCCCGGAGCAAGGGGTCGGGAAAAGGGGTTGGGTTTGTCACTTATTTCCTGTGGATGATGGCCAACTCTTGTCCTTATCAAGGACCGAATCAGTGTACGTGGTGTCATGTGGTTGCAAATGCACCCACTGGAAAGCCGCTTGCACCCACGTTTGCACCCACAAAATTGTGTCACATAATTATTACGACAGGGCGATTAGCCTTCTCGTTTTACAACTCCGTATCGTAATCCAGGTAGAATGAAGGATCATTTGCACCCACGTGGTCTGCCCTGCCCCACATTGGCACCCACAGCCACCGAGGTCTGGCGCCGCCACTGGAAAAAATCCTGACGACACCCATGGTCGAGACCTCTACTTTTTAAAAAACATCTGCTTACCATCTGCCCATCTTTTGGATCCCATGTGCTGCTTGCAATAACGTGCTCCCACTTGTACTGTAATTACATACTAAGTGGAAACGCTCGAATGCTACAGTAACCGGGTTTTATTAAACTAGTTAGAAAATAGGTTATTTGAGGGAAAAACCCCTTCACTTTATTTTATTACATGAAGATCAATTTGTGAATGTCAATAAAACTTCATTTGTTTTTAAATCAGTACCTGCCCAAAATCGTCCCATCGAGTCACACTTCCCGTCGTTGAGGTGGTTCTCTGGCCGGTCCTGGTCGATTTCCGCTATGTGCGTGACCAAACCTGACTCCCAGTCCAGAAAAACGAAGCGGTGTTTGGTCGTGATGCAAAGGACGCCTGGAGTCCTTGTTGTTACAACGGAACTGACTCTATCACCTAGAAAGCATCGATGACACCTATCAGCTGCCACTGTGGTTTGGTTCCTTTTAGCCGATTCTGTATAAATTTTCAGTGTTCCTTGACTGAGGTTAACTGAAAGGCAGGCCCCAGGAGCGCCGCTATCTTAACTGAATCACTGTGACAGGCCCTCACAGTACAACTTTCATCTATCATAAAGCCATTGAACCTCTCAAAGGCCACCACTCTTCAGCTAAGACGTCACAGTTATATTCAAATGAGCCATGATAAAAAACATTCTTTGCTCATCGTGCTACCAATTGTGTTACATGTATGGCACTGAAGGACCTGTGGAAAGAGCTGTGACTGGTTTGGTGATAGGCTCAGTTTGAACTCTATGGTGGCCCTGGAGGGACATAAATAATTCGCTACCGGTCGTAACGTTTTCACAACGTCGGGAATTTATTTATGAGCAGTCATTAATATTTTTGCGAAGTCGTAAATTAAGTCACGTCCTTCTTAAACAATACACAAACCAGTCCCCCACAACAAACTCCCCAAAACCAACCAACAAACGTACAAAAATTATGACAGATATTTTTAGACGAAAATCCCCAATCGCGCCCCCCCCGCACTAATACTAGGATAAACCACTCCTCAAAAGCACATCGACCATCATACCATACCAATTGTTCTTGTCTCGTGGTTCTGTGTCTCCGGATTCCATCGGTGAACGGCTCCATTGATGTAATCGATAAAGTACAGGCACTGGCTGTCGTCATCCCAGTGAGGTCCTTCGAGTAGGATGCCGCACCTCTCCAAAACCACGGACACTGATGTCATATTCCGTCCTGAACCAAAGACTCCAAGTTTAGAAAATAGTGCTCTGTACGTAGTTAGCGGCAACAGCAAAATGAAATAGGGTTGCACAAAATGAGGGTTTTTTTGGCCGTTTGCCGGTAATTCCGATGATTTCGATGAACCACTCAGTTTTTTAGCATCATGCTAAAAACGGATATTGTATCCATATCTTCTGGACCTTCTTTCTCAGGAAGAATACTAAAAAAAGCAGTAAGGTTAAGGGACGCTGGCATGCTTGGGTGGAAACACATGTATATACCCCCCAAGGCACTAATCACCTGCTGAAATAAATCGAAATAGATAAAGTTGGGATGACCTTGCTGCATGGCTTACTCTCTCATGCGCAAGGCTGACTACCTGGTTATTGAACGGTCGACTTACATGTACAATGCCAACAATTCACAACAGGCAGTGGAGAGTGTATAGTCTGTTAAACGGCAGATGCAATCAATTTGTTAAAGACCTTCAAAATGCACCTCTGTGTCCCAGATAACCGTATTTGCAACTTTTGTTTCACTGTTTCAAAGGGTATTTACTTGAACCGCCCTATTTTGGGTTTGTATGCTATTGATGGTCACCTATCATGGGTTTGCATGTCATTGATGGTCAGCTATTTAGTTGATCACTGGGGTGTAATATTTAAGCATTATGGAGGAGAAAATAGACAAAATTCGTGGACGTAAGCGAGAGGGTCATCGTTGCACACCAGTCATGCTAGCTTATGCGTGTTTGTATAGGGATACGACGGCTATGAACTCGACCTGTGGCGTAACCACGGGGGGGGGGGCACGTGCCCCCAAAATTCCCAGTCCCCCTCCACTAAAAAAAATTACTGTCATCATCATCAAGAAATGACGGCGATCTATGGCTATCTTATTCGAATACTTTAATGAAATATACGGTTTCACCAAGCGTGTCCAGTTACCTGAGAAGGTCACAGGGAACTTGAAAACAGCCGGTGAAAAAATCGCGTGGTTTTTTTTTTTAATATTCTACCGCAGTCCGAATTTGCATATTAGAAAGATCGCCCACAATTAAATAGTCTTGTCCAAGGCGGGTTACGCGGTCGTTAAACCACGGCAGAGATCCAGGCCGTACGCACGCAAACCACGGCAAACGAGCTGCCACCCTAGTACGGTACAAACCGAACCACCGCAGGCACGTGTGCGTATACGTGTACAGTACATGTACATAACCCCACGTTCGTACGTGCGTGCGTCAGCTGTCCGTATCATGCATGCTGCCGAGGACCGGCCAGGACAAGGCACGCACGTGAGCATGCTGAGAGTGGGGCAACGTACTGGGAATCGGATGTCACTCGCAAAGCATAACGGCAAAGGCAAACCTGCTACGGTGAAGGGTATTGCGCAACACTCCGTGCAGTGTTTCCGCCACGCACGTGCCATGCCTAACGGCTACGGTTTTCAAAATCATTGCCCAACGCCTTCATCTAGGCTAACAATTAAATGGCAGATCTTGTGTACGTAACTTCTATGACTCGAATTTTTCCCGGTCACTCGAGATATATTAAAGGCTCGAGCCTTTTTATTTACGCATTCGTACAGATATGCTATAACTTACCGAGATTGATCTGTGGATCTTTAGGCCAAGTATTCACACTCGGGTTGTGATCACAGCCAGGAGGTATAAATAATCAGATTGAGGTCCGTTACACCAGCGTGTCTATCTGCATGATCACACCATGATCAGACAGTCAATGTTCAGGTTTCAGAGAGGGCCGTCACTGAAGCTTATCCGTCGGTATCGTGATCAGAGAGTCAATAGTGTTCAAATGTCCGATCCGCGCAGTTTCACTATCGGTTGATAGGTACAGAGGGAACTATAACGGTGGGCCTATAGTTCGTTCAACTTTGTGGCCACAGAGTAGGATTGGAATACATGTACTCGACGGATTTGCTTTATTCATGCATGCAGCCTGAAGTTCATGCTGAGTTTTAATTTGACGGTCAGTACCTTTTTTGGCATAGGCTGGGGCACCACCACGGTGCGAACATTTTCTTTGATTGCGCTGAAAGCAAGTAAATGGGCCACACTTGTATTTGTAAGTTGTACATTGCTGTGGGGGCGTGGACTCCCCATAGTACATGTATGATGTACGCCACTTTCTGTTGAAAAGTATGCCACGTACGCTCGTACGTACACACGTACGTACACTCCTCTTTTTATATTTGTTGGGGGAAACAATGCAGCTATTTTGATAGCTCCATGATAAAAGCACGGTCACAAATCACTCAGAAAGGGAGTATATCGCTGCAGTTTGTTGTTTTCAGCCTTTCTGGATCTGCCCCTCCCCGTCACACGGTCATAATATTGGGAAGTATTGAAAGACAGTGTCCATCGTATTTTCTTTTGAATTCTGGGATTTAAAGACTTAAAATCAGATACTGTAAACTCGTTGTGCAAGAGCTCCCAAAAACATTCTCAAACTTGTTTGTCATTATAGGTTTTTTTTTTGGGGGGGGCGGGGGCAGGCCATGTATGGGTGGAGGTGTCGGCATGTTCAAAGGGGGTGAGGGGTAGTTTTTTGAGGGCGGGGGGGTCAGGGGATAGAGTTAGGGGGCGATTGCAGTATGATTGAATATCACTCTTTGTGTTGAAAAAAAAGCGCCTCCTTATTCATTATATTCCAGTCGACATTGACTGCTACATAACGAAGACTGAGGTATTTTTCAAACTTTTTGAGGCCCCTCAAGATGACTCCCACAACATTTAATGCAAATAACCACCAAATAATCAATGTGACTGTCGTGACAAAAAAGGAAGACAAAAATAAAAGGGTCTGGCATTGTTCAAGCAAACATTTGATAGTTACTTTGATAGTACTCCATCAAAGATGAATCTGTCAGTCTTGGCAGTTCTGTACTGAAATTGTGTTTTTTATTTCATTTAAAAGAGACCAAAACTTAAGAAATTGCAATCGGGCTAGTCATAAAAATTAAACATCTATTCAAATACATACAAAATTTACAGATAGTCACACAAATTATTATTATTTTTTTTAATTTATGTGATGTAAATATTCCTGGGTGCAGATGTTAATGCTGAAGTGACTGCGGAAATTAGTATCAACAACTAGTACTTAGTCTGATTACCATGTGGTAATTTTTAGTACCAGGCGTGATCCTCAGTCATGGATCCTTCGTAAGCCATTGCAAGGTTTAATTTTGGTAGGATGTTGCACGATTTCAGGCACTGTTCATATGGGGTTTGAAGTTACTGTGCCCTCTTCAAGGACAGCTCATTAAAAAACCGGGCACCCTACTGAGTCCAAACACATGTACCTGAGTATCCTAAAAGCTACCAAACCCAAAAATTATAAGAGAAAAGCATTTCAGTTGCTGATTCTGTTAAACCAAAAAGTGCTCAATACTAATTTCGGGACACAAACGTGAAATCTACTTGGTTTTTGCTCTGATGGGAATGTACTGAATATTCGATCAAACACAAATCTGGCTATCTGGATAATCAAGTGACTGATCCCACAAGTCTGCCACTTTGAACTGAAATTAAAGAAAGATTAACTTTGGAAACCTGCCAATAAAATGAGAGCAATAACATTAAAGTTCATTATAGATTTATGTCAATTTACGCTGATGAATAATTACAATTTGTGATTATAAACAAGGGAATACATATGTGCTAGGCCATCTTAAACGTTTGTTTCAGACTGGCTCAAAGGAACGGATGCGACTAATTTAGTCCAAGTTGCAGGTTTGTTAGGTCTTAACCTAACATTTAAGACCAGCCAAGCACATAACATTCACATTCAAAATATCTTTTGAGTCAGAAAGTTTCAATTACAAATTTCCAACGATTTTGTTCAAGAATTTCACCTCATTTTTCAAAACACCCTTGCAGCCAAGTAATGGTATGTGCCTGTCATAAGAAGCTGTAACCCGATCTCCTTATACGGATATTGACTTGCGCATAGCTGGTACTGTGTGAGGTGGAACAGGACGTAATGAGCCATGCCATACTTTTTCACTTGTTTAAAACCGGCCATGTGATGGGCTCTCGACAAACTGGAATGGCTTAGCTGTCTTAGGTATTTATGAATTAATACTGGCATGAGTCTGTGATTGTTACTTGTCAAAGAAAAATTAATACAATTGCGTCCTGTACATGGACAGCACCTAATCAATATCTTACAGTTTGCACATCTCTCATTTAAAACTGAGCACTTGAATGGATTTGAGGTAATTCGTAATCGGTGTCTCCAATATCTGCGAGGAATAAACATGCGATGATTTCATTGTCTCTAAAATGTGACCAAATGCTGAAAATGGAACTTTCCCCAAATCAAATTTCAAAAATCAGAATTAAACGTTCATCGTTCAGCCTAGGTTGACAGTCAAAACTCAGAAGAATGTGAGCACAGACTTAATCTGCAAAGTCCATGCTGGCGAACCCTTTGACCCCTAACCCCGTGACCTTGAAGAGGGAACCGGCCAACGGCTGCTCGTTTCTGACAACCTCGTCGCTGATGCCCATACGAGAGCAGGTGACGTACAGCTCGTCCAAGTTGGGACCTCCAAAGCAACATGATGTGATGTTGGTGGCGGGGAACATGATGGTTTGAAGTTTCTCGCCTGAATCCGGAGGAAACATTCAAATAAAATCTGCGCATCTTCAAATTTCTGGCAACCAAAAGTTAATTGTTTACAGGTTCACACCACAAGTTATTTGGATGGGCTGGTCCATTGCCTAGACAATGGTTGTGTGCATATCAGAGTGCGGGACAGCCAGGGAGCTTAATAAGTTAACAGGGCACTCCCTCTTCATTTACCGTGCAGACAGGCTTTGATGCCTGAATTTCAAATTTATGCATTTTGAATTTATGCATGTATTTATAGCACATCAGGCATTTGCAAAGAATCCATTTCCTGACAATTATCTGCGTACATTATACATGTATGCACATGTTTGTCTTATTTATGTAAGGTAACAATTTATGTTCATTTACTGACTGTGTGATGAGGTTTTTTGCGTAATGGCTTTGCTGATGCATCAATTTAAATGTAAATGAAGATTTGCTTAATAGACGTACAAAATTTCGAGTTTTGCATAGGTTGTGCAAAAACAAGGATGCGCCCAGCAGGCATCACTTTGCACATCAGTCAGGGCTCTTGTAATTGTAGCTGTATTAGGACAGCTCAGGCGAAACGAGCTGGTTCACGCCCGAATGCACATGGTGCCTCAGGTATTGTGAGGCAGTGGCAGCCTGGGGGATCAGTTACCGTAACAGATTGGCTTTGTGGACAGGGTTCGTTGTGCACTGTGAGGTTGGGGCTGCCTTTTTGGCTCTACGAAGGCCCCCAAATGCATTAACTGAAGCCTGCTGAACACTGTCGCATGGTTTTCTAAACCCATGGCATCTATCCAGTTTCTTTTCAACAGGAAGTAACACGTAATTTTGCCCTCAAGAGTTTAGAATAACAACAATAATATGGAATGATAATAATAATTTAGAATTTACAGTGTGCCCTTTCCAGCGAAGTGATCAAAGGCGCATTACACTAAAAAGTGTGTGTTTTAATAAGAAACACAACTATTTTTCATTTGGCCTTACGCTTTAATTATGCAAATATTGGTTGCCAGTTAGTTTACCAACTAGCAACGGAACGGAAAATCTGAATTTTAGCTAAAAAGCTGGCCAAGACGGAGGTTTTTGAATATGTTTTGGGTAGTTTGATGGATTACCTGTTTCTGGATTGTAGCGATTGACTCGTGACTTGCTGAAGCACGCAAGCCACAACATCCCCTGGTGGTCAATGCACATTCCGTCTGGCAAACCTTCCTCCTTGGGCACACTGACAACAGCTCGACGGTTACCTTCCAAGCAAGCAAATTAGAAAATGCAAACTACGTTGAACTGATGACGTTTTCACAAAACTTTGGTAAAATTCTTTTTACCAAATCCAGTACCATTATTTTCTCCTCTAAAATCCAACAACTTTTGAGGGCCAATATATAGAGGGGTATTGTTGTGTTTTCATTCAGGATGAACCAAAAAACTGATTCCATTTTGTGAATTACCATCGACTGGTTTTCAGTCAGTAGGTATTGAATTCAATACTTTTGCTATCCGACTCCTTTTGAAAGTAACAGCTCCGCCCCTGAAACTGAGTAACTGTCAAACAAGGCCAGTAGTCCTGTCAGTGGCAACTGGTCAAGTAGTGGTCAGCTTCGCCTGGTATCCTGGCTATGTTTTCATTATGTAGGTTACCAGGCAAAATCGCACCAATTGACTTTCACTTACTTGTTTTCCCAGTTTCCAAGTCGTAATCGAACGCCTCGATAAGCCCCGTCAACGAGTCGATGTAGTACATAATCTTGTTGTCCAGGCTCCAGGCTATGCCGTTCGAGATGTCCAGGTCCTTGGCGTGCTTGGTGACCGACTTGTCCGAGTGCAAGCAGTAGAGGGAGCCCTGGCGACGACGCACTTCAGCCGGCCTCTCTTCTGGTCCCATCGTCCCTGTGCAAAGGATATCCAGTGAAGAAAAGTTACGTAAAGTATGCCGAAATGAATAATGACGAATCTATTTGGCAAAGATGTAGAATTTTGTGATGATAAATACACAGTGGTTTAGGTAGCATTTTTTCTTTAACCCCCCAATACACTAGTACAAACAAAATACCACTCAGGTTACTGTTTATTTATTATCCTCCTATGTAGCTGATTATGGGAACAGATCTATGCACTAGATGTTTGGAGCTTGCATTTATAATCAGCACACATGCATTGAATTTTTAAAAAGCCAAGCCAACGATTTGTGAGGTTAAAGCAAATTTAATTCTCTTCAATAAAAAAATTGGTAAATTGGAGTCTCTTTACTTTGGAAAACAACAAAAAAAGTCCCTGGCAAATCTCCTCTCAAGAATAGACACACCCCTACCACAATACTACACAAAATAGTTTGCATTCACGCAAATTAGGATTTAAAAAAAATTGCTGTTTGCTGACCAGCCCAAAATCTCCCTCTAGCGTCGCATTTGCCATCATTGAATCTGTTGTCCGGCTTATCTTCATCCACCTTTGTGATGGTGGTTAAGGCACCTGTCGACCAATCAAGGTAAGAGAAACGGCACTTTCCAGCAAGGACTAATTTGCCCGATGCTGTTGTCACGATGGTTCCTGCATTCTCGCCTATTGGTCGGAAAAAAAAGATGTCGAATTTTTAAATTAGGTAAGGAATCAATACTGATGCAGGCCAGTGTCCAAAAACGCCAAGTTACAAATTACAGTTACGGAATTTAAGAAAAGAGAGCAATTGCAGAATACCCTGCCACTCTAAAAAACAACCCCTGGAATGACTGGTAGGCCCTGTTTTAGTAGCCCCCCAAAATTGATTTCGGATATGCCCTTTATTATTTAGTTTGGAAACCCAACTTGGAAAGAATCATTAGATGTTGAATGCTACATCCTGCCTCAGGCCTCCACTGTTACCATGGTTACCATCTCAATAAAGGTCAGACGTAAAATTGCAAATGCTGAAAAGACTGAGAAAAAAATTCCAATTTTGTTAGGAAATAGGCCTACTACATAGGCTTACTACCGTGGTTGAAGAACCCTTCTTTTCAGGACCACTACAGCTGTACTCACAACAGAGACAACTCACAAGTCACACGGTGCTACCGTAAACCTTCCACTTACAATCGAATCCTCAAATCATGCTCAAGCCATCATATATGCATACAGTGCACGGAGGACAGAGGTCATGCTTGGCCACACAATGCGCTCACCTACATCGACCTTTTCGTGCCTGTCGTCCGCGGGGCGATAGCGGTGCACTGCGTTGCCGTAAATATCAACAAAATACAGGGTCTGGCTAGCCGCGTGCCAGTGCGGTCCCTCCAGCAGCTGCCCGCAGTTCTTGACCACTACTTCAATCTTAACTTGCTCTGGACTCGCCATGATTATGACGATATTTCTGGCCGCCTACTAATCCCACAGCCTACACAGCTAACTGGCTGTGATTTTACAAGTGGAAATCCGGAAGCCGTGGGTTTGCATTGTGAATTCGAGGTACAAGGGGGCGTATGCTCAAGGTAGACTTGTATCAGTCGTGCATCATCTTGGAAAAACACGGGTCAGACGGCGGGCCAAACTAGCAGGGTGAAATTCCTTCATATTTGCTTTGCTGTGAATCGAATATTTTTCTGTTGTTTATTCGTTGCCTATATTATCCATATACCATGCAACAGATCCAGATCGCGTCGCATCGTTGGCCAAATTAATGGGCCAAATAAACATAGAGCTTGGTACACGTCACTGGTATGAATATTCATAGCATTGGGCTCAAAACTTTCTGTATCGGAGTACTGATCGGGTGCGGCATTGCGTAACAATTAAAAACCACTTTTGAGAGCTGTATTAAAACCTAAAGATGACAAAAAGCAAACTTACTCGTAACAGAGCATTACAATCCTTCAAAAGTTGTTTGAAGACAATTCAGATTTTGAAAAGCACGAAAACCTGCATGTTTCAACTTCTGGAAGCCTGCTCTAATAGTTGAGTTAATGTGAGATCACACATAAAAGACATAGTTCTTCACGTACACTGAAACCATATGATTTTGCTAAAGCTTTATTTCTCAGATATGTGTAAAATATACATGTATACTACCACAACTGTACTCATTTTTAAAGATTTATAATGATATATATTTCAATGTAACCATTTTTCTTTCACCCTCATTAAGTTAAAATTGAGACCAAATCATCATACAAACAGTTCAATTGCTCTATACCATAGTCGTGACTTATTAAACTGTAAATAAATGATGTTTTTGTCAGATGAACCTGAAGGTAAGACACATCTGTTTTTTGCAGGAGTCACTTTGACCAAATTTCTGAAACTCCGATTACACATATATTAATGCTAGGCACCCTGAAAAGGCAGAGCTTTCAAGTCACTTCACAAATCTCTCATCAGATATTGAAAACTTTCTTTGGACAAAACACATACATTCAACTTCTGATAAATGCCCCCTCCAGCTTCAAAGTCATTAATTACATTACCATGACTATAACATCAAATTCGAACCAATCAGTTTAAAAAAAATCTGGCAAGCTACGGTGTCAAGTTCTATGATCTCTACACAAGCAACCAGGAATCATAATGGTATAAGGCCGACCTGAGCCAAACTGATATTTAGCTTGGCTCCAAGTTTTATTTTTATATGATTTATGTAACATTTACTAACACAATTCCAGGTTCTTCAGAAGTACCCATGATGTCATGAGGAGGGTCAAAGGGCGCAACTCCCCAACAAAAAAGTTTTAAAAAAAAAAGAAGAAAAGTTTTAAAAAAAAAAGGAAATGAGAAAAAAGAGAGCCCAAAGATGATGAAAAACATCAATTTGCTTGAACAAAAAAACCCCTCAAAACTGTCCCCCTCATGCAGTTGTGGCTTTGTCTTTTAATTGACAAGTACTCTGAAACCCCTCCCCCCTTAGCAGAAATCCTCCCCTGGAAAATATAGGTGCCCCCGGAAAAAAATCCTGGTGATGCCCATGAAGCCACACCCCATCTATATGAAGTATAACAAAGACACTCGTTTATTGTTCAACCATTATTACCATTAAAAGTACTTTAAGGGTGAAAAACAGTGGAAAACACTTCTGAGGTAACAGAGTACAACCAATCATGCAGTTCCCCAAAGAACATATACGCTGATAGTTACATTGGCAAAAATTAATATCAGATTTAAGACATGTTTATTCACTAAAATTTGCTGCAAAAAAGGCCACCAAATACGCCAATAGTAATTTCAACTTAATTTTAATCCTTAATTTTAGGATTTCACTTATTTGATCCGGTTTACTTCAACTGCAACATTTGCATAAATCTGCATATCTTCATGGCGACTACATCCGGTAGTTGTCTACGCTGACATGGCTCTGTTTGGCTATGCAGTCCTGTAACCATCTGGCGGACACGATGACTGCATCTGAATTCTCGGCTTTCATGTCCATCAAAGCCTGGGCCTGAAATATTCAAAACACGTATACTATTTACTCACATTTTGTCAAGGGACAAAATTATCAGAGTCAAGGCACAAGGCTAAGATTGCAGCTGTCGGTTGCAATTCTCCAGGACTATTTAAAATATGACAATCTCCTATTAAACGCCATTTGCACAGGTAAGTTGTTTGGTATTATGACTTGGAGACTGCCATAGCAACTATTTTAGACTGAAAAAGACAGCCTGCAAATTAATCCTTCCGCTGCCACATCAAAAGCGGCCCATCGAAAGTAATCTTTGCACGTTTTGATATTCTTGACTTTTCCGTAACTTTTTTCTAACCAATTTCACAAGACTTTTCTAAGACTTTCTCGGACAACTTTTTTCCTACAATTTTCAGGATATTCCATAGCCGAGAGAACCCTAATTAAGTTACTAGCTAGCTTCGCAGTTCACCAGCAAATCAGGCAGACAGCCAGAACCAAGACAGGCAGTTAGAAGTAACATGATGTCTTAAACATGTCTGTACCTCTGCTGTCTCCTCGTCAGCTATGATGTGAGTTGTTTGATCACTGACAGTCTCCGAGACGTCGCCATCATACGTGAACCAATGTTAAGGGCATCGCAAAGAAGAAAACAGTTACGGAAAACAATGGTCATCCCCAACCAGGCAGAAAAATGCTGGTGTTGTAGTCCAATTATTCTCAAAATCTTCAAGAGTAGTACTCAAACTGTTTCCCACATAGTCGTAAGTCTTTGCATGCACCGTAGTCCTTTGTCATTTACCTCGTGTTAGCCTTGAAAGTAATGGTAAAAGTACCTGAAGTACTAGAGATAATGAATAATACTTGCAACATATTTGTAGAATACCCTACTTCAACACTGCACAAAGGATATGCCACAATGTAACGGGTCAACTTCTTCACTTCGCTCTCGGCAAGGTCGCAGAAGGTCACCGTCACCCCTCGCAGGAAACTCGGAAGCCCACCCGCGTCGCTCTGGTCACACCCCGATACATCAAGGGTAGAGGGCGAGGCCGTTGACGTCGAAGGCACAGATGTATCGCTGGAGGGAGTTGAGGAGTGGGGTTTGTGGCGGGGCACTTGGGGACTGGTTGAGGGACGCTTGGAACGGTGTCTTGGGAAATAGTAGCTGTGAGTTTGTGGCTAAGGATGGCTATCTGACGAGCTAGAAACATTTTACATCACAACGGACATAAAGTAATTGATCATTCTCTCATTCAGGTCTTCATCGTCACAGCAAACTACCCTTCAATATTCATTGTTGCTTCATTCTGTCATTTCAATCTCTCGAGTCTGGAGTAGCTCTGAAGACAGAATAGCTGATTCCAGAATAGATATACAAGTAGTGTTTATTTGATTTGGTATTCTTCTTTTGGTCTTGATGTTATGGTAGATAATGACGTTTTAAAAGTGTCCAGTATTATCATTATTGCAGCAACCTGTTAGAGTATAGCAGTGATGGATACCAGGCAAAAGTCTCATGCAAGGCCTGGATCCTAACAGTGATGGATGCCAGGCAAAAGTCTCATGCAAGGCCTGGATCCTAGCAGTGATGGATACCAGGCAAAAGTCTCATGCAAGGCCTGGATCCTAACAGTGATGGATACCAGGCAAAAGTCTCATGCAAGGGCTGGATCCTAACAGTGATGGATACCAGGCAAAAGTCTCATGCAAGGCCTGGATCCTAGCAGTGATGGATACCAGGCAAAAGTCTCATGCAAGGGCTGGATCCTAACAGTGATGGATACCAGGCAAAAGTCTCATGCAAGGCCTGGATCCATTCATTGATATGTGAATTCAATAAAAGTCAAACAAAAGTCAGACAAGTTCAACAATGGCAATGAGAAGCTACGGATTAATTAAATGACTTGCAAGTTGATGGTTACTCGCTTAAAGAAGTTTCACAGCATCCGGACATTCTAGAAAATAAAGACTCCTCAATACTTGTAGACGGCATTGAGTTATACAGTTGTACTTCAACTTGACTCATTAACTCACAAGGATACATGTATGTGGAAATGCCTTTTGACGCCAGTAGCTTATGAATAAGTTTCTCCGTGCCATACCAGTTGAAACCAGGCGTGGCGTAGCCAATGCGTGGCAAGTGGACGCTCGCTACGAGAGATCAGAAATAGTTCCAACATGTAGATTAGACCTCGACGACAATATTTACGCAAAATTAAGATACTAAGGTCAAATCTGAGGCCAACTCTTTTTTCATTCGGTTCCGACGGTGGGAATATTTGAGACTGATTCTGAAGGTTGAGATGAAGCCACAGCCAAAAAGGAAGCCAGGATTTGAATAACGGCTTCAGACAGACACTGCTGCAGTGAAGACTAACCGTTGCGCTCTTTTGCTGCCTTGTACACCCGCTGAAGACCTTGGTTGAGGGCATACATCTTGATTCCAGACAGGTTGTTGCGTTTGTCTCTATGCTGAGCTATAATAAGAGCAACCTAAACCCAAAAAAACCAAAATTAACGTCTGAACAAAACAAGGCCTACAAACTGTAAGATTTTAATTCTGAAATTCTAAAATGAACTTCACAATAGTGAAATTTGCAACATTCATTAGTTCACAGAAACTTACTTAAAATGTGAGAATTTGAATATTTAACAACGTAGCAAATAACTACACAAACATGAATCTTGTGGCTAAGATATCTGGAGGCAAAGTATTACTGCTGTTAGAAAGGAAGTTAGAACGCAGGAAGGATATATGCCCATTCCAGAATAGGTCTTCATTCTCAACTGGGCTAATAGTTACCATATCATTTCCCTTGCTACGGCTCATTTTGTCATCAATGCCAATCAAATGGGCATCCCCAAGGGCCAGATCTGAAACAAACACATGAAGAAAAAGAATTTGGATGAGAATATAAGAAGAGCTTTGTGACGATGTAACGATTTTAGAATTATGTCACATCTCCTAAGATCACAAAGTTTCACCGCTGCTGGTACCTTGCCAGCTTCACACAGGCAGATTTCCTCCTTTTATCTCCGTTTTAAAACTGCATGACAGTACATGGTGAAACGCACAAATGCTCAATTCCAATCAATGCACACACAAACAAACCAGGGAGCTCCAATCATGGATTGGCTACAAGTTATACTTTAATTCCCACGATGACAACACCTTGCATTTTTCCTGCCAGCTCGTACTGAGTTTCCGGCTGGTCTGATCTCCTCTGTAGGGCCGTGAAAAGTCCACCCTTTCCCCAAGATCCACTGTCATCTAGGGAAATGAAAAAGTACCAACTTATCCAACTTATTCATAATAACCCCGAGTGTGAGAGAAGCCATCTCGACGAAGTTACTAGGCAACAGCTACTATTAAGTTCTATTACCAAAGTAGAATTTTGGAAATTGGTCAGCCATATCTGCGACTAACCTACGCAGTGAACAACAATGGCATCTCTGTCTCCAGTGTTGATTGGCTGGGTGACGTCACCACTAACGTACTGAATCGTGCGGACTTCGTTCCCGTCATCCAACATCGAGAGGTCATCTTCCTCTTCTTCTTCATCTTCCTCATCCGTTTCCATGGCAATATTGGCAGACTCGTAGTCATTGGCTTCCCACAGTTTATCACTAAAGAGCGATCATGAGGTGACCAAAAATGACACAATGTGCTCATGCAAAGTGCTGAAAATATGTGCGAATTCTGATGAAAATCAGTTGTGCATATTATTTGTATGCATGCAGTGTGGCCCCTGCGTTGGAGCTATGTGATTGATCCAACACCACTATCACAGGGGTTTTCTTCACCACAGCGTGTTTTTTCAGAATCAGATTAGGCTTTGGTTTCATGAGATGCGATTCAAGATTCTCCAGCTGAATAGAGACTCCATTTTGTGTCAAGGAGGCACCAAACTGTGTCTTCATTCAAAGTAATTTCACTTTGTTCCCAGAGTGAACGTTTGGATTTTACAAAGTTGCGACAAAGCCCAGATTTTGACAAACGGCCAACCCAGAGCTCAAATTCTGGCATAGCAAAACATTCACAGTTATTTGTTGCCAAGGTAACTATGAAAACTGACGATCCAAGAAATCAGACGCGAGGCATTCCGGCAAAAACGGGATCAGGTCACTCACAGCTTCTGCCTTCTCTCCTGCATTCTGCGCACAAAGGCTTCCTCCATCAACTTGGCCTTCTTGGCCGCGGCTTCCTGTCTCTTGATGGCTGCCTCTTCTCGCTGAAGGACGGAAAGGGCACAAGACAATTCCTTCTAGTATTTAAAGACACCTGTGAGCTCTCACCAGTTCCCTTTAAAACCTTAACACTGCAACATGAATTCACTGACTTCCACTCAATCCCATTACCCTGAGGTTAACGCAATATCCCCTCGTTACCATCTTCTTTGCTTCACTACCTTTCTCTTTCTCTCTTCAAGTTCCTCTGGCGTGTACTCTTTCTTCTTCCGTTGGGGTAAGGGAAGATCTGGTACGGCATTGATGTTTCGGTGTTTCCGCAGTGCCCGCGGCAGCTGCACATTGTCCTCCTGTTCGGCTAGCTCAGCTTGAAAGAATGAAATTAGGAAAAGAATTTGCAGTTTATGATAAGATCCCACAAATTGAGTACACATTCTCAATATTTCACATGCAACAAATGTTTTCACATGAAGTAAAAGGAGCATTTGAAAATCGTCAAACTCAGTTTGGCTTCCTGGTTTGTTTACATTTGTACATCGTCCCTTTGTCACATTACAACAACTTCTTGATCAGTTTTTGTACTTTGTTTTCATGAGCACATTATTTCTGCGGGTAAATTTCACTACACCGACACGAGGGTGAAAATTACTTGTGAGAAGACAGTATAGCACCTACAGTTACAAGAGGCAACCTACAGCAAGCAATAAATCTGATTCATCAGCTGGAATTCGAACTACCAACCAGCAATGAGTGCTTCAAATGCCTCCCTGTCCTTGTTGGATGCAACAGGTTCCTTGGAGTAGTCCTTCCCTTCAAACACGTACAAGTCACCTGGTGTTTTTAAGATCAACAAAGTTTGAACACTAGCGTTTGCTCTTTAAAAAGGCCACTGATGTACATACAAATCTGGCATTGTCTTGGAGGATGTGTCAAAGCAAGGGTCAATGCTCAATAAACAATTCAGGCAAGAGAGGAGTAATTGTGGTAGAGTAGGTTCCTCAGGGACACAAGCTTACTTTGAATGTTATAAATGTAACTCACTGCGCTAAAAGAAAACTACAATTCAATGAATCAAGCACATACTTACACGCATGAAACGTAAGGCCAAACTTGTCTAACTTTTGCTTCCTCTTTCTGTAGTCAGCGAGTGGTTTGCAGTAATCCTGCATTTTGCATTTCTGAAACTCTTTATTTCTTTAGTAAATGCCCAAATCTGTCACATCAATTTACCTTCGGACGTCCCCTCCATTTCCTCGTCCCCTTCCTCCAAGGCATGCTGGGTAGACGACACCTCTTCCTCCACCCACTGGCCGTCCACGCTGCTACCCAGCATGCCTTGCAGGTCCACATCATCGATGCTGCTGTCGGCTGACTGCAGGAGCTGATCCAGCCCAAACTTCAGCATTTCCGAAAGCTGCATTTCAACAAAAAAGAAATTTGCACAGAAGTTTCATGTCCACATTTTATTATCTTTTCTTTTCCTAGAGACAAATTACAAAAAAATCATTATTTTAAGCCGAAAAGGGAAAGTCTCAATACCTGAGTCGCCGATTCAGCTGGGCCCACTCCTCCGAGAGAGAACTGGCCTCCTTCTATGACCTGATTGGTCAACTTCAGCTTGGCATCTGCTCGTTTGATGATTATTTCCTCCACTGAGTCTTTACCAACCAGACGAATAATCTTGACCGGCCTACAGAGGGGCACAAACACCACGGTCAGTGCCAGACTCAGTTTTACTCCACGTTTTGATAAACTAAAAACTTAGAAAGAGAAGCTTTTACTTCACAGTTTTCAAATAACTCTGATTTTCATTTCACCTTGTCTGTCCAATTCTGTGAGCCCTGGCAGCTGCCTGAAGATCGTTTTGAGGGTTGAAGTCACTGTCCACAAAGATGACGGTATCAGCAGCAACAAGGTTTAACCCCTGACCTCCAGCCTTGGTGCTGAGGAGGAAGGCAAAAGTCTCGTCTTGTTCGTTGAAGTTCCGTATGGCCAGGAAGCGCTCCTCGCTGCGGACAGAGCCATCTAGACGCTCATAGGAGTAACCTAACCACAAACAACTTTGCTGATTCAGGGGCTATCTGTACACAGCATCCATGTACATGTATAAAAACCAAGCAAGTCCTTCATCATTGGCCAGATGGTTAACCAGTCAAAATGACTGCACAATAAACAAAACTGAATGTCATGAATATGGAAATACAGCGGTGAAAACTGAGCTTGCAGTTTTCAAAAGCCAGTTGTCTTCTTAAATTACTGCAGACAGCATTGTTACACTGAAGAAAAAAAAAAGTCTGACATTTCTTTCTACACATAGATTAAGTCACCAGAGTGGAGACTGATCTTTACCTCGGAATCCCAGGTAGTCTTGAAGTATATCAAGCATACGCGTCATCTGGGAGAAAAGAAGAACTTTGTGGTTGCGTTGTTTCAGAAATGTCAAGAGCTTATCCAGAAGGTGTAGTTTGCCGCTGGAGTCCACAAGGTGTTCCCCCAGCTGAAATGGTTCGGGTTCAACACCTGAGGTCAGAGGTTAGACTGGGTTTTCAATTAGATTTTGATTTAGATTCAATTACTGAGATTGATGCAAAGCCAAGAATGCAGATTGGGTCAGACATAGTCAGTTCAACTCTAATTCTTGTTGAATTTTAATGGTCAGGTCAAAGTTAGAGCTGGGGTCAAAATGAAGGTCAAATTGCAAGTTTTTCAAACTTCGGCTGCATTTATAGCTTTGGCCTAGGAATCATATGTAGGCTATGTTCAAAATATGAACAAAAGCTGAAATAAACATGTACTTGTGAAACTGGCTAGCCAGACAAATGTTGGAATTGATCTGTTAGAAACAATAATGATACCCAATAGACGCACCATCAAACAGATACGGGTGGTCAACCACTTTTCGTAGCTGCATCAGAACATTCATGAGTCTCGTCTTGGGCCTCTGACTAGCAGGATCTTGTTCTTGAAAGGCCTCTGAAAAACAACAAGACAAAAGAAAAGGTGCAGACGCAAACGAATGAAATGGGAGGATTTCTTGTTTTGGTTTATTCTCTGTTTAATACAAATTTCACCAAGACAGCTTTACAAGACTACCAAAAGACCAGACAAAAGACCAGCCGCATGACAAGTCATAGACCAAACACATGACCAAACACATGACAAGACACAAGACCAGTCACAAGACCAGACACAAGACCAGACACAGACCAGACACAAGACCAGACACAAGACCAGTCACAAGACCAGACACAAGACCAGACACAAGACCAGACACAAGACCAGTCACAAGACCACTCACAAGACAAGTCACAAATTTAAGGGTGAACCATGACAAAGAAATGATTTGGTTGCAGTCCGTAATCGGAACAGCTTGTGACTTGAATTCAGACTGGAGGCCTTGTGACAGTCTTGTGGGATCTAGAGTACAACTTTATCAATAATGGATGAAAAAACAAGAGAAACCTTCATGTTTTACCATAATCTTTGGTCAAGACTGCCTTGTAAAGTTTCTTCTGTAGGGCTGACAACCCGTGGTAGAGAATCACCTGCAAAACGCCCACAAAAACCCTCAACAGATTAATATGTAATAAAACTTGTGCAGCGTCACAGCATGGATTTTACAAAAGATTGGAAATACCGTACCAACTGTTGCCGACAAACTCAGTGGACGAGCACATCTACAGTCATACAGTAGAGGGTCATGGGTTCAAATATAACCAAGACAACTGTTTAAGCATACAATAAATAACATCTGTGAAGAGCAAAATCAACGGTCCCGGTTGACGTCTCCCCTGATGCAGACTGTCATCAACATTTTCCTCTTCCAACAATGGCACACCAGGGCAGGTCTAGGGATTAAGGCAACCCAAAAGCTGATACAAGTTGAGCAGGATGGGTTAGACGACATTGCTCCTACCTCTGACTTCTTGGGGATGTCGAGAACGACTTCATTTTTGGTCCTCCTCAACAGAAAAGGCAACAGGATGGAGTGCAGGTCATTCTTCACTGTGGAACAATATCGCGGGGGAAACCGGTCACAAAAACGGTTCGTTGTACAAATACTTTTCAAAATTTATTAACCCCATTCTCCAAGATCTGTCAACATTTTATTCAGATTTTGCAGTGATGAACGATGATTCCTAGTCATAATTATTTTACGAGAGGTTTGATGCATCTTGAAAATTTGAAGTTCATAGAAGGTGCTATTGGTTTCTTGCACAATGGAGGATTTTGGAGATTTTTGGAAGGTTCCAACCAAAATAGCCGAGGGAGTTTGACCTAATGACCTTTGACCTGACCTGCATCATCTGTCATGTTCTCGTACTCCTCCAGGAATTTCTCCTTCAGGCTGCTTCTGAAGATGCCAGGCGCCACGAACGACAGAAGGGAGTAGAGCTCGGTCAAGTTGTTCTGGACAGGCGTGCCGGTGAGTAGAACACTATGACCGATGGTGAACTAAAAACCAAACCATGGGTTTCTGGAGCTATGGCTAGGTCTACTTTCAGCATGTGCCCATGCGTTTGAAATCGGCAAAGACCTAGCCATAGCCATAGACACCGGATATGGATGCAGCCCAAGTCTGCTGCAGCCGTTCTGTCAATGATGAGATTTTTGTCGTGAATAAACACACTAAATCGATGGAAGACTTTTGAGATGCTTGGTGTTGGCAAAGACATGAGTGCCACATGATGGGCACCATCGAGTCAATGCGGGCATGCTCAATACGATGCCAAAGAAAGTGGGCTGGTCATGTATACTTGTCGCCACAAAGATTCTCAAATGTCTTCCATAATTGAGAAGTCTCCTATGGATGGAGTCAGACAGTGGTCCCAACACCCAATACTTCAAGGCACTTTTTTGCCTTGATGACCTCTGACACAGAGGTCAAAGTTCATTTCAGTGCTCTGACATTTGCGTACAGAGCACAGGGTATTGAACAGCAATGCGATGAAGATTCAGTGCTGTGCATAGGCAACCAATGAAGTCAATCCATGACAAAAGTTTTCAAGAAATACTTTCCAGAGGTTTACTCGTATATACGTGTACCCAGCAACCAAGACTAGTCAAACGATTGTCTTACTTCTTTCAAGGTCTGGTGGAGAAGAGAGCTGCGATTCTTGAGGCGATGAGCCTCATCAACAATAAGGACCTCCCAGCTGAACTTCTGAAGGAAAGCTGCATCATTCAGGCACAACTGAAATGAACCAAGGAGTTCAAAGGTCAAAGGTCCAAAGCCAGATAGAGCTTTCAGCAGAATTCTATGAAATGCTACCAAAACCACTGGTAATTTGGAAGAATTGTAGATATTTTGACTATACAAAACAAATAAAGTTGTTCTGTGGAACAAAAACTTAACAAGTTTTAGCCATATTCTATTGTCTTTGAAGATCTTCTCCAAAGTCTTAGGTATTCAAAATTGAATTGGTATGGTCATTCAAACCCAAAATTTCAATATCCGACATTATAAACTACATGTATTAAGTTTAATTTCTTCAAGGGTATTGATTAGTTTCTACGAGCTCTCCTTGGACAGAATTCGAGCAAATTGAAACCTGTATGTACATGACACGTCTGTGCACATGTGCAGTGACTATGGGCAGGACCCTACCCACAATGCTTTGCAACACCCATTGCAACACCACAAAATGCTGTGAAATGGATTAGCCCACACCGACATAAAAAATGTCTTCTTACCTCATATGTTGTCAGTAGCACTTGCCAATTATTTGAATGTCGTATGTCACTCTGCAGCTCTTCTCTTGTGGTTTTGTCTCCCATGTAAGTGAAAAATTTCAACTTGGGAGAGAACCTGAAAGAAACAGAATTCTCAAACATTTTCAAAATCCGTTTCAAAAATAAACAAATCAAGTTTTTCTAATTTTGTTTATATTCTGCAATAAAATAATTCTTGGCAATGCAAAATTCATGACTTGAAATTCAAAAAGGTTTTGCACACGAAAATTCAATGCATGAAAACCAAATAACCAATTCTTAAAAAAGAGAAACATTCCTGTCTAGTTTCTTACCTTTCCAATTCATCTTTCCAGTTTCCCATCACGGAAAGCGGGCTGAGTATCAAGAAGGGGCCCTGACTTTTTCCAGATCCAAAAAGGTAAGTCAGAAGGCCTATCGTCTGTATCACGAAAATGTGATTATTTTGTAATAAAAAAAAGATGAATGGCTACAAACAACTGTTTCATGTTGAGATATTGGAGCTTAAGTTACAAAAAGTAACAAAAACGGCCTATAGAAAATGGCACTGCCAGTGAATATGACAATCAATGACAGTGACAATGACAACGTGGCAATGTTGTCAAATTAACGCCGAAATACACACAGGAAAGTAATTACGGATTGCTACTTGCCTGACAAGTTTTACCAAGACCCATCTCATCACCAAGGATACAGCCGTGGTTTCTGTGGTAACGCTGTATCAACCAGTTGAGGCCATCTATCTGATATGGTCGATATGTAATGCCTGCAGCACCCCCCCAAAAAAATAAAAACATAGAAAACAGACCAACTCATAAGTGTCTGACATATCATTCAACCATGCCAATATGTTCAACATGTCATTCCAAGGTAACTGTTACGTGCACACTATCATTTTAGTAACGTTTCAAGCAGCATGTGCAATTCTCCACACTGTGTTTAGTTTATTGTCCATAACGCAAAAGGTAAAGTAGATTCTCAACGTTTTTATGCACACCTAGTCCTACATGCATGTACATGTAGGCCTACGTACTCTATACGTACCGGTTAGGCCGAACTTGGCCATGGCGTTTCCGTCAACAAAAGTCCGGTCTGCATTCTTCAATTCGCCAAGATCTGAAATCTTTCGACGAATCCTATCCATATCTGAGAAATACTGGATCTTTTCACCAGTAGACAAACATGTGATGTGTCACTTAAATTCAGAAATTGTCGAGTTTCTTCAGGTAGATGACTCATTCTCGTCCAGTTCGGACAAGCCCGCGATCGTAAACAACTTTCCAAAGCTATTGAGGGCGCTGTCACCAATTAACGTGTCACGACGGCGCTGGGGCCGGGGGCAGACACCCCGGGCCCCCGACATTTTCTGCCGTAAAAATCGTCGCAGCCTCAAGCAGTAAGCCTTCAGGAGACGTTTTCAGTCATGGGTTGCTATCATCTTGACACCAGTCTAGTGAAGATTGGACATTTGAGAATTTTGAAGTTTATTTCTGAGATCACAATAATCGTCATAACAACGCAATATTATTTCGCTTGGTCTATTTCTACCTCCATGGTCAACTGTAGTAGCCATGGGCGTCACAAGAGGGGGGGGGGACCAAGAGGGCACTTGCCACCCCGTGCAAAATTGACAAAAAATAAAAAGGAGAACAAGAAACGAAAGCGAAAAGAGGTGATGAAAAATCACCTATTCGCTCGAAAATACCTCGAAATTGAACCACTGTTGCTTCCATGGCTTTTCCCCACGCCCAGGAAAAACCCTGGCAACGTAGCCACGCCCATGACATCGAGATATCCATGACCACCTTTATGTAATTACCTCTAAACCTGGCGCCATCCGAAAATGTCTGACATTGGCGCATCTTTCAATAAAAATGCGTCTACTCCCTTAACATTACCTGATCTAAGGGATGATCTTCTCAACCGGCTGACAAATATTTGTGTGCGCAGGTCTAGCCTACGCCTCACAGGTATGTATACATAACACAATAAATCGGCGCCCCCAACTCGGCAATTAAAACACGGTGCCATCTCAGCTCCCTCCTACATTATTTGTGCAGGACACCTTTTCTTCAAGTCTTTCAATAAGACATTTGAATAAAAACAGACCCCAATTAAACTCTCTGTTGTTAGCATAGCTTGAATTATAGGTCATGAACTCATCTTCTACGAGATTCAGTAATTTAGTTAGACTATCAGAATCTGGGTTCCGTCCAAACCGTCAATTCCTAGCCGAATGATTTGAACAAGGATTTGTTGTTGATAACTCCAATGAATCCTCCAGAAGACACCCGCGCAAATTTTAAACTAATCTAAAATTAGGTCAGATGTGCCGTCTAACAATATATGACAACTGAAATTTTGCAAGAAAAGTCACAACTAAAGCGATGGTGTGACAGGCCAGCTATGTATGCACGTGATTTTTCGCAGATAGCTACAAACGCAGTGGACTTTGGAATGTTCCCGTGTATTGGTTTATGATTTGGTTTTTGCTTTCCATCTAATTTATAACATAGACCTAATTAATGCACATCGGTGTATTGGAGCGATGAACTGAAGTTCTGGTAATAATAATTATTTCCTTTATAACTGAATATATATCTTCCAAACAATTGCAATAGCAATTTCAGTAAAGGAATATAAAATAGCTATTTTCTGAAAAGAAAGTTTGATGAAAGATAAAAGAATTAAAATAATAAACAACAAAGTCAGTTGCGAATTTTTCTTCCAGGTCAAGGTCCAGTCGAAATTATCTGACCAGAAGATGCAAAGCTCTGCACGCCTACATTCCAGTGAAGAATTGCAGTCGAAAAATAACATCACTTATTATTAAGTTATGACGACTGCTGTTTGATTATAATTAATTTTGTGTTGTGCTGTCGGGACGGGTTTGGGATGTTGATGACGTTTGAAGGTCGTTTCCATTAAAAGAGTGGATGCAAAAGAAAAGATCGTAGAAATCCTCGCAGCCTTTCACGCTTTCTATCAGGACCATGGAATTTATTGAAACTGCAGTCGTAGATTCGAGTCTTTCTGGTGCCAATCTACTTCCACAGCACTCTTGCCTGTAATGCTGGGTCTGTGTACCTACCTGGTTTTTACAATCTCAAACGGTGCAACAAAATGGATTTCAATTGTTCCATCCTTCGTTTGGAAAATTACAATTTATAGGGGAGCTAGTTTTTATGACAGTAGTTCGAAGCATGAATTACAAAAAAATCGTATGAAGGCATCATAGTGAAAAGCATGCCGTAATTCCACCTTTTCATCAGATGACAGGAAAATCTAAAATCAAGATCCAACGCGATGGGATGGAAGAAATCTGTCTGTATGTGTAGCAGTGAAATTAATCGCAGACGTATCTTTCGACAGCATATTATTTAGTGCTTTGAAATGGTTGAAGTTCTTCTCCAGGTATCTCACACCATCATCATCGGTTGCTAGTTAACCTCTACTCTAGAATCGGAGTTATTTCATCAGTATTTAGGACCGCGGTCGGAGCAAGAAATGTTTCTTGTCAAGCCCATACCCGGAAGAATGTCTCATACTTTAACATAACCGCACAGGTGACATATCAACCGCACACCAAGCATAGTTACGCGAAGTGAAAGATTAGTGTTGTACGTTTCGTCGGCATGACATAAACGTTGCGATGTCTGATGTTCCCTCCCTGTACAGGAATTAAATAGCGCATTTCTCCTTTAATTATTACAACCGTGTCCCCGTATTGTTGTCGATTTCACACTTGGCAGGAGCCCGGCACGGTCAATATTGCCGCGCCGACCGACATGCGTCCTCTGATCACTCGCCGGCTGCGCCGTGACATTACTGGCATGGGTTCCGCGCTGCTTGACAGGTAAGCACGCGTGCCGAGGGGTTGATACCTAAACGCGGCCGGACTCAACCACTCGATTCATTCATTGATTTGTCATCGAGGAGGTGCAAAGATCACCATGGCTATCATTTTTATTTCTCACGAATGACTCTCGGATGCACTCGAGACCACCGTGATCTCGCCACAACGCTGAAGCGTCGCTTCACCCACAGCAGAGCGATCGAGCTTCGGTAGATAGCACAGCGCCACTTTGTTTTAGAACTACGTGAAGAGACAATTAAGTCTGAAGGAGGGACTTGCAGCTCGCGCTGTTCATTAAATCTGATCTGTTGCTATAAATTTACCCGGGTTCCCTGGGGAGGGTGCCACACTTCTACGAGCAGCCATAAATATTGGTTGGACGAACAGAGCCAAGCTCTCGAGTTTCCCCGCGTCAAATCTCCACTGACTGTTGAGTCAACTTTATGACAGTTGGGGCTTGTCAAACTGATCTCGCTTATGATCATACATAAGCCACAGTTTTCAACGAGCGACAGTGAGTAACTCACAGGCTTTTGGTGGAGACTGTCGACGTTGACTTATGAACAATCCATTTCTTCGTCGTCTGCGTGCCTTGAAGCAGGGCAGCTGTTGCAGTGCCGAGGAGAGTACATGACTGTCATGCACATTTCGAGAGATATTCATTAAAAAACTTAGCCTTTTTTGTTTTGCGACGATTTCTAGATCAAACTTCTTGGGAGCCGATTTATTATTGAATATTCGACCAGATGTAGTCTTACGCATCTTTTGTATCGCTGCTTAATCATTTAACTGGTAAGTAAGATCTTTTTTTCTTGTATACTGTTGACTAGTGAGTTGTCCTGAACAACCCTCCAACGTGTTACTGGTATCGTGATTTTAACAATATGGCAATTACTTAAGCCTCTTTTTGTTGTTAGGTTTGTTATTAACATGGCATATTAATTTGCTGGTCGTGGCAGCAAAAATTGTTCGCGCTCAGACATTTTGTCTAGTGATTGCCTAAAATTATGTTCACATGTAGCGAATTTGTCTTACAAACTAATATGCTTCGGAATCGTAGGTAATCTCATGCTAATGCCAAAAATGTTGACACTATTTGCAAAGAACCTTCGCCGAACTATACTTTGCCGTGGGTTGACATTTCAGAAGGAAAGGATGGAGCCGGAAAATATGTCAAACATTTCTTCTTTATGTCTTTCTTGTAACATCATCACATCAAATCAGTACCAAATACGGTTCAAAGGAGGGGAAAGATGAAAGGTCGTATACGGAAATAAGGTCAGATAGATACAGGGCTCGCTCTAGGTTCCACTAGGAGAGTATGGATTTCAATTCAATTATAATTGCATCCACTTTCTGTGATTTCTTTTCCCTCGAAATTTACCATCCCTCTCTGAAGTAGAGGGACCGCTTGAGACATCAGAAATTTTAGAAATGGGCAGCTACCGATTTTTATTTATTATCAAATATTATCAACTGACTTATTTTTTCTTAGTTTTGCAAATACACGTAAAAGGAAAATGATTTAAAGCTGGTTTGAACAGTGTTTATACGCTAAGGTTTGTTAAGAATTGTGTATAAAAGTGACAAATCACGCGCAGGTTCATCAGAGATAGACACTAAATTAGAAACCTAAAATAAAGCACTTCTCCCCCGGACCTAAAACTTCAGTCTTGTATTACAAAACGCAGTTATTTGATATATCATCAAAGCTATCACACCTTGACATGCGTGCCTACTTTGTCGCCAATTTTCACGAGAACATGCGGCGTGCCTGACCAAACTACTGTCACGCCACCTGATCGAAAGGTAATTCATTTCTGTCATCCCAACGTCTTGTTCAAAAAAATTGTAAAATGTCACAGGTGGCTATAAACTGTTCACTATCCATCATTTAAAGTGCATGAGAGGCCATGCTAATAACCTGTCTGCAAGAATATTGCTTCGACTCCACTCTCGGTGAAAATTCCCTTTAAATGTTTCTTCCTCGATTCCTCAAGGTTAAACCACAGTTTCATTGCGTCTGATCGCTTGGTCCCAGTCACATCTAAAATACGCGGTGCCTACGTGCTACGCTTGTCCCAAATGAACGATCGATGTGACAAACATTCAGGCCCGATCAAGTTGTCGTTCCGTCTTGTCTTCCGTGTCAGCGAATGACATTTCAGACCGGGATGCTTTCATCACATAGTGCACCTCAACTTGCCGGCGTGACGTAGCTCGGGAAAGCCACCATCATCAAAAACCTGCAAATTTTCCCCTCGTCGCCTGGAGCCCAATTAACTTCCCCGTGACTCGCACACGCGGCAGGGACCGTACCTGTATGCCGTTTGCAGTGCCGGCAACGACACTTATACCGCAAAACAAAGGCTTGGCCCTCACCACCTCGTCTAATCAAGGATGAACGCCGAATCCTCTACATCAGGAGAATTACTTCACTTCCGCGGGGCTAAGACCGGCCGAGCCGATGTGCGTGTATAATGCTGATGCATTTTGGTGGAACCGCGCAAAAAGCAGCAGGTATAGAAACCGGTGCATACGTAGGGTCGTTGTCAGCGTTGATGAAGGAGGCACCAAACCACTCAGTGTAAAACACGATTTGAGGCTCACAGGGATAGCGTTGCCTAGTTGACGTATTGCTTAAAAGGACTGATGAGGTTGATGCAATCGTGATCCATAGAAAGATTATGGGGTTTTCTCTTTTTTATTTCGGTTTTACACAGACTATTGTTAAAATCTGCGTGTACCAATCACGCATGCCTTTAGATTTTTTTTGCGGGAAAACTGACTTTAATGACGGAATCGCGCAGTTTATCTAAACAAAAACTGTTTGAAATTTATTGACATAAAATCCTTTGAGGGAATATTACTGTAGCCAAAAGGGTTGAATCTGAGCGTGAAACCGTCGCTTGAGACCGTGTAGAAAAACCTATATAAACCACTTGGTAAGGTTTCATTAGCCCATTCTTCGCAGGTGACAGTTTTAAACAAATACAGGTTAGCGTGCCTCCGAGGCAAGGCAGCGATTGGGTGTTCGGCTGAGTACTTTTCCTGATTTCCCGACCAGAAAAAGTGGGTTCGGGAGGATTTGATTAAGTGATCGGGCAAAAAGTCTCGCTGTGTTATATTGCGGTTGCAAAGTCACCCCAGGATGAGGCGAGAGCGCACATAAAATACGACAGCAACGCCTGTGATTCACTTTATATAGGAAGGGCTAATAATTGAATGGGGTATGACGAAATCGGCCTATTCGGTTATCAGGATTGTACTACAATCAAAGCCAACACGAATGAACTCGGAGTCACTGGCAGTTTTGATAGCGATTTTGCCATGTTGTCCTTATTTCATACACTACCAGTTTCAATCAAGAAATATACCGTTTCAAAAGTCGGCTTTTATCCACCTGTTATCGGTATCCACTATATTTTATTCACGGATAAAATCCTGCCATGTCTCCTTGCAGATATAAGGCAAAAGCCCTAGTTTCATCAAAATCAAATCAGTAAAGCCCATTAGGGCTAAAACTGATCAAGAGAGTGTTCTGATAAACCACATATCCGCTCAAATGTCCAATTACGCCACATCAAGTTATTGTGTGTGATTTCTAATTATATTTAAAGGGAGGTTCGTTCATAGCCCTGCAAAAATCATTATTTTAACGTGTGTCTATTTTTCTTTCTTCATGTACACGTAAACTTTCCTCCTAACAAAATACAAATACACTTGAGGTCAACATTTATGCCTTTGTTTATAAGTGAGACGCGGTATAGGAAATTCGGAGTGGGTTATGAAACATCTTGCACTATTGCTTTATTCTCGTGCTAATGATGTTGCACAGGAAACTGCCGCAGTGTTGTTTCAATGATCAATACCGTCACTATGCCCAACAATCGATTTGCACCACTGTTAATAGTCCGGCTCAAAGGAGTGGGGGAAAAAGGCCAGTAAAAACTCGATCTCATCCCACTTTTGTTATTGTCAGTCAAATACGATGTTAAGAATTGATAAGCACAACCAGCTTTCCCCTAAAGACTCAGACTGGAAGGAAGTGTAAAAAGTCGGCCATGTTAGGCTTCTTCTGACGATGAGAAAGAAAACTTTGCGCACAGATGTGTGATTGATTGAAGCTGACGCCCACCCCCCCTCCCCCCAAAAAACTGCTCCGCCGACTGCAAGTCGTGATGCCGACTTCCTGCCGGCAATTCCCACCAATTACTCTTTCGCAGTAACCTCGGAAAGTCAACGTCTTCAATCTGAGAAGTGCGGACCAAGAGAAGGCTCTTGACACCAATTGTATTTGCACAATGCCGCGGAGACGCGGAAAGTTCAACAATTAGGAGTCTCCCAGCATCAGGTTTTGGACACCTCATTAGACGGAGGACTGTTTTTTTTTTAATAAGAATAATTTGGTCTTCTTTAACCAGGATGGTGTTCGAGGAAGACTTGGTAATGGTGAGTTATTAACAAAACTGCCTGTGAAAACAGCTCTATCTGATTTTTCCTGTCAATTGCACGGTTAAGTTGATCATTTAATCACACTTTGCTTTGTTTTAATTTATAGAGGGCGAAATAAAATCAACTGCATGCGGCAAGAAATTATACCAACAAGGATTTTTCAGAGAAATACATCAATTTTAAGACTACGGAAAAGTTAAAAAGTCAGACGAATGAGATTTTAACTACAAATCGACGAAATAGTCCCGCAACTGTAACAATCCAAACTAACTAGTCTAACATTTCTGACGAAAGCCAAAGATACAGATGCTTTTTATTGAAGTAGTTTTTGAAAACCATTTTCAATCTCCAGGGAATCTGCTGAAATGCTGTCTTGAGCAGCTTTGCGGAAATATGCGCAGGTTTAACATGAAACTGCATATTCACCGTTGCCCCAAATTTCCGCAGTACTGTACGAGAACAGTTCCACCTCCAAAGAAAAATATCAAGATGGTGACTTTTGACGATGCCTTTGTTTGGATAATTAAGATTTCCATCTCACAAGACGCTAGGCTTCATGTGCACCACATTATTAAATCATACGATGGTTCAGCAATAATCAATTCAACGCTGCTATGCTCAGGTGCACGTCAGAAATTACGCCGCCATTTTTGTGCTTTTGATTTGATTAAGAGCACCTGCCGGTAAATATGACAGACCACATCAGGACAGCAGATCGCTTTCTCTGGACTGTTTTTGCAATTTTGTGGAGGACATAACCGTGGTGCTAACATTTCAGCATGAGACGAACGGGCATGTTCGTCGAGGTTACACGATGACAACATTGCATCCTGAATGTGAAATCTTATTGGCATTGGCATTTAGAAACGTGTTGAGAAATCAGACTAAAGTTTCCTTTTACGCTTCAAGTTCCTTTAGGAGTAAGAAGCGTGTGTTTAAGTCTCAAACGACTAAAAAGGCATACAGCCCATCATAATATAATTTGGTGACGCAGAGGGTTGTCAGAGACGATATCAGACAAGCACAAAGTAAAATTGAATCGTATCTAGAGACATGCTCTCAATATTTAGATAGTATTTCATTAGACCGAACTTGTGATCCCGAAATTTCACTACAACATCAACAAGAACGGAGAGTCAAAAGTCGGGCTATGTGAGCGCCCGCGTCACACTAATCGATAACGTCGATTCGCTTTAACTGACCACGAAATTCCAATTGGATCGATACTAACGCACCATGCTCGCTGTGTCAGACGGCAAAATCGCATTACATGCACATCAGAGGCGAAATAGGACTTGATCTTCTAAAGGGGATGCGTTTAATCCTGTTTGCGGTTGTTAGCGGTTAACAAAACGCCGAGTTACACCATTATAAAGATTGTTTTCAATGTTTAATTAATTAATAAGAATTATAAAATCCTCATCACCACCGAGATTGTCAAACGGTACCTTGAAGTGTACAAATTGATACTGTTTTATTGTTCAACTTTAAGTTGATGTTATGCTGTTTACAAGAGAGTGTTAAGCTTTCCTCGTTTACCGGTATTTATTTTTGTCTCCACCATTCAACTGGGATGACCAATGAAGGTCTTTTGACTCAGTTTCTTTTGGAGGGACGGCCTTCGTGGAAAAATGTTCAGTGGAAGGAAAACCCCGGACAAGTATGTCGGAAAAACCCACAGGATCAAAAAAACCCAATCCACATACTGACCCAGGCGAGATTCGAACCCGGGTCCCAGAGGCAAAAGGCGAGAACCGCATTGCGCTAATCTGACTCCTTTAAACAACCATGTGACATTTTTTGCACAAACAGTTCTTTGATGGCTTTTTTCCCTTGGTGATGTCATCTGATGGTGTTGAAAGAAAAGAATGTTTACTTTCAAGCTGTATAAACATTTAAATCCATTCCCAAGAATTGTTATTTTTCGTTTTTGCCCTATCCGTAGTTGGTTTGCGCAAAGATAAAGAAAAAACCTGTACCTTTTCCAAATTGTCGCTAAAGGCGAGTGAATTGCTTTAGGTGGCGAGACCTTATCGAATTCTCAACATCTCTGAAAACAGACATGAAAAACAGGAAAAAAAGAAGACACGGAGTGAACTGTTGTAGTTGTGTTATATCGCACGCGTGATCTGAACCTTACCCGCTTCGTTACAGGCCCCCGTGGACTCTTGCCGGAGAATTGTTTCATTTTTGCCGGCGGGGCAATTCGAGTCTTCATCCGCCGAGCTGAGAGTGGTTTCCGCTCTACGGTGCTTCCGCAATACCGTCCGCGGTCTTTTTTCCCCTCTTGCAGTACGCTTGACGCAAGGCACGAGTAATTTAATTTGAGTTGTGCCGCTGTCGATCGCTTCAAACCTACCTGGCTGACCGAACTACATGACCAGCCAGATATCAGGCAAATTTAAATCTTCTCTTTTTTTCACGGGAGATACAAAGAGAGAGAAGGTTTTTCAAGCTAGAATGTTCCGCCAATCGTTGTGGAAAGTCGTGAATCATCAAGTGTGCGACACACACACACGGTTTGAACTCTCGCATATTGATTCGTGTACAGTAACCTGTCTGGCGGCTTGCGTAAATACACGAAACCTGATGAACGACGAGACGGGGACATTTCGTCAAATAATTTTGCAATTTGACAGAAGGCGCCACCATTATGCACCAGTCTGCCTTATGCAACCGTGGTTTTTCTGTTTCTATCAGTAGCGTAGGAGCACATACCTTCATGTACAAGTCACTGATCAATGTCCTGCATAGGAAACGGCCCTGAATTTTCTTAAGTGAAGTATATTCGTGTGTGAACTCACAGTGAAGGGTTTATTTACACAAGGACAATGACTTTTTCTAGTATTTCCCATTTATGTCTGCCTGAGACTCCTTGTACGCCAATAGGCGACCCAAATTACAATGTTTCCCTGACTGAGTTGCCCTTAGAGATATTTTATCACTCGTTTGGACAATTTTGCCATGGAAAAGGGCAGGTTTAATGGTGAAACTTTCATTTGGTCAGACAGTTTCGAGTATCATGATCAAGTGCTCTGGGCAGGGCAGCGAAAACCTATCCAAAATGAGTTTGCCTTTTCTCCTGAAAGGGGGAGAGGAACTCTAACCCACAGTCTCCTATTTGTGTGAGCAGGGGTATCACGAAACATAACAGAGTTAACGTTGTTGTCATGATGAGAATATTACAGACTTTAAAAGGACATTATTTCCATACTAAGCCAGCCAGACAACACAGTCATACTGACGAGTAAACATGTTTAATCTGGAGAATTATCTTGTTGAGTGAAATTTAATCCTGTTATTCTTTCGGTATCATGACAAGCTTTTTATCTTCCAACGATCTCAGAGCACTTTTACAATTTCCCCGTTCCTCAAATTAGACCGTATGACAACCGTATCGAAGACACCCGGCCTCTACCCTTGAAGGTGTCCATAATGCATGGGTTATTTGGTATATAGACACAGGGAAGAAAGACTAACGTGACTTGCTCCAGGTCACAACAAGCATGTTGCTCGCTGCTAGATTGAACCCTCAGCCCTAGAGACCTTCATCATGATGTTGCCATGTTACTCCTGTTCCCAGTAGACCAATTGGTAAAAATTATAAAGCTTCACAATATTGACAAAAGGGAATAGACTCCTTTTCCTTTCAGCCTCAGTTTAGTTGCATTGCTTTGAATGGTAGAAAAACGAAGCAAGATGGCTGCTGCATGATAGAGGTCTATGATCGGGAGTCATCAACTCCACAACAAGAAGCCACAAATCTTCCTCGTTTACCTCCCAGGATAATGCTGTGATCACACGAATTTGTATTCTTTGCTTCCTTGTTTTGGGGGGCAGGAGTCCGAGGACCGGGTTCCACTCACATCAAGGAGTCTCTACACCCCAAGCCCGCCAGCTGTCCCCTCCCAAGCCCAAGTTACCATTGACCCGGCTCGCTTCCAGCTTCCCGGCATGCCCGAGCCCGGCAGTGCCGTCACCAACGGTGGAGAGAAGCTGCCTTTCAACCACCAGAGCGAGGCCCTCCATCGGAAGATTCCATTTTTCAACAAGGGGTGGGGACGGAGGGGCTACCGACGAGCCTGGATGATATGCCTGGCCGGGTTCATCCTGGACATCCCCTTCATGGGAATGGTTATGAGCTTCGGTGAGCTTCTGCTGCCGCTGCTGGATACGTTTGGAGGTGGCACTGCAGCCATAAGTAAGTGAATTAACTTGGCAAACTACAGGTTTGTAGTTTTTGTTGGACGTCAACACCTTTATAGGTCTTACAAAACCTTTACATTGCTTCCTTTTTTCACAAACTGGTTTTGATTTGGACCAACCTCTGCAAGGAATTTGCCAAGAATGAACGTTGTTTCAGTATTTTGACCAATGTCAGGCAAATATCAGCATATCGAGTTACAAATTGCCGTTTTAAATGTACACTGTATTAGTTTATTCGTGAAACGTTTGATCACGTGTAGAGGCTGATACAAACTACCAGAGTCAATGTTAAAGCTGGAAGATTCTTTAACCATATTTAATACTGTGGAGATCTGGTAATGGCAGATTGGAGACTCGTCCAAGCAATATTTATCTTTTATATACTGCAAAATCACAGGCTGGGTGGGCTCCATAGCCTTTGGCATGGCCTACGTTGGTAACCCCATCTCCACACCACTCTATCACCGCTTCGGTTGCCGGCGGGTTTCCCTGGTGGGCGTTGCCCTGGGGGCAATAGCTCTATTTCTCTGCTCCTTCGTCACCGAGTTTTGGTGGATGTTCGCCACCTACAGCCTCATGTTCGGCTTCGCCACCAACTTGTGCTACAACCCGCCGCTGGTGCTCACGGGTGCCTGGTTCCCCGTCAAGAACCACGTTTTGGCCACGTGCGTCCTGGTCGCTGGTATCCCGTTTGGTAAGACTACTAGAAGTTTTATCTATAGGTTCGATAAGAAACGCTTGTCAACCAATGACCATTTTGTCTGGAAGCCTATACACAACATAATTATGTACTCAGGCAAATTCGACAAAATGGTAAAAAAATAGGTCATTGATCAAACCTTACGTACTGTGAAACATAGAAATCATTTCCTGCGTCAGTCAAGTGTCCAAAAGAGATGCAAAGCCTTAAGGCTGTATTTATTCACTTTGATACTGCAACATACGGAAGGAAAGGAATTGGATCAGTACAAAGAAGATTTTTCTTATTTTTGTGACAAGACTTCTGATTTGTTTGCTGTTTCGAGGATACTGGATTAACATCGTGTTTACGATAAACTCGGTAAGAGTAACAGCAACAAACATGCAAATGAGTAGGTGTAATTCAGTGAAGGAGGGTTTTGGTTTGAAATTTACCCACGATTCAATCTTCTGCCTGACATCTTGTTTGTAGTTTTCCTGGTCTGCCCAATGAGCGAATGATGTGTAGACCTCATTTGGTCCCACATGTGGCATGGTCAAATGTTTTGTGTAGAATTAATGAATCAGATAACCTCCCTAAGGATTCTTCAATGTTCCAAGTGATTATTTTTCACTTGTGGCACAGTCTTTGTATTTTTTAAGCATGTGCCCTTTGTCAGATTTTTATTTCATTGAATGACAAAAATCACACTATAGTATGATGCACTTCACAAATATGTTTGCCTATGTTTTGGACTGTCCTTTAGTGTGCCTACAATCGCTGACACATTCCTGTTAGCTTATGTCCATCTCTAGCTTGCTAAATGAGGAACCCTTTATTCACAGCGTTTAACAACGTCATTGTAAACCGACCCATATTTTTGCATTATGACAATGATCGAAGAACAGGCATTTTAAAACCATCAGTACTGTGCGATGTATCATTATGAAACGATGGTATGCTAGTGCCTCTTTTGGGGATTTCTAGAATGTGCCAATCATTACGGTTAGCATATTTAAGAGCACTGGTGTACAGGAGAACGATTGATATATTTCCTCTCTCAGCATTTTCAACTTTTGAAATATTGAAAGGCACTTGACATTTCAATAAAAGGAAACAATGTTCTCGCCAGTAGCCCGTAGTCGACTTTCCACGCAGCTCGGCTTTTTGTTGTAATTTATCAGCGGTCCCAATTTTAAAATGTATTTCTCGAGGAGAGCGGTTTATTACGTTTGCATTGATCCCACCTCTTGTTGCCATGGAAACGCGTGACTCTAACTACGCACTGTATACAGAGTGTAGAGTAGACGAACCTGTAAAGAAAGAGTAAAATAATAATAATTTCGCCCGTGAATGGATCTCAACCGTTCAGGCGTGTGGCACATTGTTACGAAACTATTCATGTGAAGTCGCTTCTCTGCAGTACGTCATTATGGGCCACCATCTATGAAACCCAATATCACAAACCGTCGTCCCCGAAGGGTATGAAATATAGTCAAGGAGGCTGCGAGATTAAACTATCGGATATTATACAATTAACTGGTTTCATACTTTAATTAGCTGTTCCGCCGTGTTCCGCGGGAATTACCGAACTTCATTTTCTGGTACCCTCTGGCTCACATCAATTCATCTCGTTGCGATAGTGCAAAAGCTAATAAACAGAAAGACGGTGTACTTTTACCGACAAACAGACGGTTAGATTCGCCAACTTACACGTAGGCCTAGAGCAGTTGAACACTAGTCTTTATTAATGATGTAATCATTTTTCTCTCCGTATGGGCGTCTTGTTGCGACGCTCTGTTGTTTACTTTGTTTTGTTATGACATGTTGCAATGATTCCCTGTCCAGACAGAATGCATGCCTTTAAACTTTAGTGCATAAATATTCGTATAAGTAAAACGAGAGATTTATTACAAACCATTTTGTCCCTGTCAAAATGCCATTTTGTGAGGTTGCTCTGAAGGAGGGAGAGTGGGATGTATTGGGGACAATGACATTTACAAATAATGATAATTATGATTATGGTGATGATGTAGAAAATGACGGTAGTTGATAAATAATGCGCACGCGTATACGGGCGATTCTCAATAGTGCGCCTCCAAGAGTTTGCGACGCGTTGGCTAATCACAACGCGCGAAATCGGTCGACCCTTTTCAAACACGCCTTGGATCGACATATTTCGCGCATTGTGATTGGCCAACGCGTTGCAAATGCGTGGAGGCGCACTTTTAATTGTGAATAGTCCTTATTGATTCCCACACGAACAACTCCATTCGAATCATTTTTGCAAAAATCAAGTTGCTGTTGCTACTTTTTTCGCTGCTTAATTCGCTGCCACTTCAAACTTTTTATTTTGCTTTTGTTAATTATTCGAGTACTTATTTACGTAAAAATAGGCCATCGATAACCATGCAGTGATGCAGCAGTGCTCATCAGGGGTCTGGGGACGAATTGTCGACCAGACTTGTTCACTTGCTCACCATTCGAGTAGTAATGATAGTAAAACACTCAAGTTTGGGGCAGGTTAGATCAATGGTCATTTATTTGCCAATGGCTAATTTTGACTGGTAACCTATGCATGAAATATTTATACCGGACACCTGGCAAAACCGACCAGTGGTTGACAAAATTTTGATGATTGAACTTGTCCATAGTTTGGTCCGAAGTTGCCCGTCGATGGTGTTGAGGACTACCATAAAAACAAAAATAATATTGTAACAGTTGTTCAAAACTTCTCCCCCCTCCCCCAACTTTAGGTTCCCTGGTCATGAACCCCGTATGTCAAAGCCTTGTGGAAACTGTCGGCCTCCGAAATACCTACCGGGTGTTGGCAGCCCTGGCGCTAGTCATAGGCATCCCGTGTTGCCTCATCTTCAAACAGCCTCCCCTGGAGGAAGAGGACGACACACGGTCGCTGGAGGGCAGCATCGAGAGCACCGAAGTGGACGGCGAGTGGTTGTCGGAGATGATCAAACAGGAGAAGGAGCCAGCAATCCGGAAGATCTTCGGGGTTCGGGTCTCTCTGTGGCTCGACCCGGTCTACATTCTGTACATGTTCGGGCAGCTTTTCAAAGGAATAGGATACGTTTTCCCGTTCATACATCTGGTAAGTTATCAAAACTCGGCTTTTTAAAGGCTGGTTCATACTTCGGGCGAATGTGAAAGCTATTAAAGCAAAGTGACGTCACAAACGATTTTGCTCGAGTTGAAATGTGTTCAACTTCTGCTAATTCGCAGGGCGCAAATTATTTGATCTGATGTCACAAATTTGCCACGTGTTTGTGCTCGCCTTTGCGTCAAGTAACCATCCTTAAGAGTTATGTTATGTACCCCTGAAGATGTAAACTATTCTGGTTAGCCTTTTAAATGCCCCAAAATGCAATCCTCACAGGCCATTTCTTCCGGCATTCTCTCCGATGAGTGTGACTCCGCCCCATAATCTGGGCCTTCCCACACCAAATCTTTTTCAAAAGTGGCATACATCAATTAAATCACATCCATGAAATTGTGAAATCATTCCCAGCAAGGGTTTTGCTGTTATGGTCATCTTTAGCTAGTGCTCTCATCAGAGCCCTCGACTGAGTACTTGTTCCCGGGAAAGTTAACACTTTTGGTGCCACCCTCCCTCGAAAAGAAAAACCCTTTTCATAAGATTTGTGTGAAAGCGCTTAGATAGATAAACTCTTGAACGCCCGTCACAAGACCAGTGCAATACAACGAAACTGGAGGAAGAAAGTACAGGCATTCAGGCCGGGCTCTTTGAAGATGAAAGACGAATGAGCCAGTCAGGTATCCAACCGAGCATGCCTAAATTGCAGCGCGTCCGAGGTTGTTCAGGACCAGCCGTGACAATCTATCCTATCGGCAGGGCCGTACGCCACCTCATGCGCGTATACTTCGTTGCCGAACGGCCTTGTCTTTTTGAAATACCGATCTGGCTCATTGAGAAGTTCGGATCCAGATTTGGTGCATGTGGTTAAGCTGTCAGCTGCTCCCATTTTGTCATTATCATTATCAGCATGATCAATTATTGAAAAGCCTCTAAAGTCTGTCTTCATCGTCATGTCAGTATCATCAAAGCCACCATCTGTTTCCACTGAGCAGCTAATTGAATATCCCACGACCACCTTCCAAAATCCAAACTTATCTCAAAATCTCCTTGTCGTGCCATACCACTCTCTATCCGTCTTCCCCACGCCAGGTACGCTTCATGGACACCATCGGCATCGAGCCCTCCACCGGAGCTATCATCATGACCGTCAAGGGGGCTGCCGACATGGTGGGCCGATTCTCGGCCGGCGTCATGGGCGAGAAACTACCCTTCCCTCTCATCCACATGTACGTCATATGCACTGGTGTCATGGCCATCGCTACCTACTTGTGCACCTTCGCCGCGAGTTTTATCGCCATGTTTTTCTACGCCCTGAGTACGTTGCTTTGATTACATCCCACTTTCGAAAGACACGGCTCATGAGCAGACGTTTAACCTAGTTTAATTTATATCCCAACAAGCGGAGCTGCAATCTTTCATTAGATAGGACCAAGACAAATTTTACTCAATCGAACATTATTATCGAAATTTCAATAACGATTGCACCAACAGTAATTCTTTTTAAATATTTAGTTTATGAAACCTATTTATGATACCATTCCAAGTGATTTTGACCTTAGATCGTATAGTAGCCCCAGTTTCACTGGCTGGGTGATCAACCATTGACAAACTGACTATTAAGAGTGCAGGCCAGTTAATTTTGGTACGCACCATACTCCCTAAAAACGTACAGGGAGGTCACCTAACAACATGATTCATATCTCTCTTATTTCCCTCCATTACATTCTGAGACAAAGGTTGCAAGGAGTGAGTTTTGGGGAAAGCTTATTGATATCAATTTCTTACCAACAGCGATAGGTTTCTTCAACGGAGTTTTCAATGCGCTTGTGTTTTCCACTACCACGTCTCTCTTCGACCGAGACTCTGCCAAAGAGGCCTGGTCCTTCTGTCAAGTTCCCCCCGGGGTCGCCATTATCATCGGACCTGGAATTGCAGGTAACATGCCCGAATATCCCCTGTTTACTCTGGTTTCTTGTCTGAGGAGAGGATACAGAAGTGAAAATTGTATTCCCCATTTGAGTTGGTTAACATCATCATTTGTGATTAAGAACCCAAAAGGAACACACAAAAAAGTGGGCCTCGTAAAAAGAAAACAAAATCATGTTGGTACTTGCTTCGGCCACAATATTGAAAATAATACGCCGGGGTTTGATTGACGGCTGCAACAGAAATGCAATTCCCCGTCTGAAAACATTTGCTACGCGATTTAGACGAAGAATCTATTGCAGAAGACTGCATGGGAAATGTGGGTCTACCTAAATTTATAATTGTCGAGAGCCATAAAAATTATACACATTGCCCTTTCCAAATGCGGCGCGCCCATAAACTTCACCCGTTAGAAGATGAATGTTCCGATTTACGCCTTTATTTTCCTCGATTCGCTTCCCAGGGCTCGTCTACGACCTCAGCAAATCCTACATCGTCGACTTCTACGTCAACACAGCTGTCTTCGAGGTTGCCATGTTAACTTTCCTCCTCGTTCCCGGCGTCCAACTATGCAGAAGGCTACGATCTTCAAGGGCAGGGGAAGGAGGTGATGACGGCAAGTCGTCTAATATCATGGAGATGTCACAGCTCGAGCGCCAGCGGAAACGACTAGCCAACGGTTATCAAGCAATGAATTAAATTTGAGGGACACCTGACTTCAAATACCTCTCATTATCTTGTTCAGGGTGCTGTTACAAAGACAGATTGCACAGGAGATCGTACGGGATGGCTTCCTCAACTATAAATTCAACTCAGAATACGTCAGCAAATTCTAATCTGGTTTCCGGAATGGATTAATCTGACTACGCGAGGAACTTGCAAGTCAGGAAACCAGACGAAGCAAATTCAGTAAGTTGTGTCCAAAATCACTATGACGAAGTCGAAAGTGATCGGACGAAGCTTTTGCCCACAACTTGCAGGTTTGTCGGGGGATTTCAACACAACTGTCGCTTTAAAACAAATCTAGCCTAGCTATGTACCGGCTGGCCAGCGGAACACCGCCGTTGCGGCAGTGTGGTATTTGAGTCCATTACAAGTCCTTTCTTAAGTCCATTGACAACTTATTCCCGTCACAAGTCCTTTTACAAGGCCAGTCTTAGGCATAAGGGTTAACAATGACCAAAAAACACTTTTTTCACAGCTCATTTGAATAGCTTGTGAATTGGCTTAAGAATGAATGACTTTGTGATTGACATGTGATGGACTCGATTGCAACACTGCGTAGTGGAGTGCCCTCTGTCGCCGGACGGCCAACCTACTCAGTGTATTGTGACCAAAGACGGTCATTTATTTTAAAACTCGTTATGCCTTGTGGGGAGTTTGTATTTTGTAGAGAATTAAACGACACTGTTCTCTCAGCTATTACAATTTAGCATAAACGCGGATTTATTTCTTTCCTCAAGAAAGAAACTATACGGGAATGTTGGCACTGATTGAAATGGCTCTGATAATACCATACCTTCACAAGGATAAAATAGGATAGAATAGTTCCTTTTAAGTCTAGAAAACACAAAAAGTTATAAAATATAACGTATAAGTAGAATAATTATTAGTAAAAATTATGACCCGCAGGATAGATTCACAACTGTGTAAGGAAAAGGTAGCTGTGAATGATGTATAGTATATTGCAACAAATGTGTGTGCCAACGAATATTTATAGTACATGTACTTTAGCTATTTATAAAAATGCACTGATTCCTCAGTGCTTTATATTTGAATGGCTGTGTGTCCTTGCGTCTGAGAATAATATGAAATAAAATCTATACAGGAATGATTTTACTGGCACATGTACGGATGGAAAACCGTAATAAATCTCTGTGATGTCTCCTTTATTCTTTGAAGTAAAAGGCTGGATAGGTCCGAACCACAGAACGCAGAGACCACCAATCTCGTGCGTGTAGCCATGATTTTGAAAAGTATCAGCAAACAATGGGCGAAACGATGAATGGCAGCGCGTCCATGACGCTTGTGCATTGCCTGTATTTTTATAGGCAAATCCGATGGCCAAGCCATTACTACAGGGCCGTCCTGTTCACACGCAGACAGTGCGCACGCGTGAAATTCCTCCCTTACCAATAGGTAACAGTCAATTGCCGAAGTGCAGGCGGGCGCTCAGTTTAAGGCAGCCGCGTGAGTCAAGTGTAAATGGCCCTTCAGAATGGCGTCTCGTGGGAAGTTTGTCTTTACATGTGCTCTCAAATTACACTTACTTTTTTGTTTTTCGGTACTGCTACCTGTTCTATCTTTTCAAATGTTTCAAACGTATCGTTTTGAATCTACAAGGGCCAGATTGGATTTCTTTTTACAATCCAAAAACGGCTTCATGGAATTTTCGGGCCAACTGTGCGTAAATTATACCGAGGAGTGAATTTGCCCTTAGTTTTGATTTTGATTTCTGGAATTTTCATTCAGTTTTGAATGCGATTTTGTGGTCCATGCGAAAATGGCTGAGTTTCAGGTGGCTTGCTCTCGTATGTTCACAAATAGCTCGATTTGGTTGTTCGTGAGACGGCCTCTGGAACGCCGGAAGGTACAACCGGTTATGATCAGTCGCTGGGGCAAGCAACATGAAACATGGCGGCGTCCTTGTACGTTCTTCTGCATTGCCGTCTGGATGGGTAGCACAAGTTGGAGAGCGGCGTATAGAGGGCGCTTTGCAGAGCTGCAGAGGGCGGTTTGTCACCTTTTATGTAATAAGTCTGTGTCCAAAATAATGTGGCTGCGGCTGAATATCACGCGTGTGTCTAGGGAAGCCAATGGCTTGCAAAATTATGCAATCAAATAGACTTGTGTGTGGACAAGCCAAGGTAGCGCGCACGCCGGCGCGGTGAATGATTGGGACCGGACGGTCGATCGACAAATATGAGTTGGCAGTTTTAAACTACAGTACAGCAACTGGGATCGTGAGCAAACGAAGACAGGGAGGCCAGCGAAAATTGGAGTTGTTGCGGCCGTCGTTTCATTTTTTTCGTGGAAATTTCTCTCCAAACGTAAGCGTTGGTTTTACTTAGGGGTCTATTGCCCAGTTTCCGGACATAGGCCCTATAAAGTCTATGATCACCGTATGAAGGGCTCTAGGCTATAGGGCTACGAATAGCCCATGACGTGTTTAACAATCGTCATGTTTCTGATACATTCGAGTCCAGCACTGCAGAACATCATTGGAAATTCACAAGTTTGACATTCTGGGGGAAAAGCTCCTCCAAGATTTCTCAAGACTCAGTCAGTCAGTGGTTATGAATTGTGAAACTGACATGACATAACATGCTTTATTTTGTGAAATTTATTGTGGTAAATTGATTGTTTTGCTGATAGTTTAAGAGCTTTCACTTCGATGGATTGGCAGATTATTTGGACCCAGCATGGCCAAAGTCATGGATGATGAATATTGGAGGCAACGATGGGTCAACAACCAGATCACATTTCATATGCCAAAAGTCAATCCGTAAGTCCCAGTTGAGCCATTCATTTTTTTTATTCCTTCATGAGCAACATGATTACAGCATATGACAGTCTCATCTGGTTATCATAGTGAATTCATACCGTACATTAACATCACACGCAAGAACCAAAGCAGTGCGCGAACTGGCACAGAGGGTTACTCAATGGAGCTATGGTTACTCCATTCATTTGCATGTCGCACCCTGGTTTAAAATGATGTCACACTTGGTTACTCTATACCCTTTGAGCAGAAGCATACTTTCATCATTGTAAAGAGCATATTGGTCAGGAGTGTTCATTTTGTTCATGGTGAATGTGACTGTTACATGTACGTATGCATTTTATAGTCGTTCGTAAACCAGTGAAGTTCACTTCCGACCAAAGGAGCCTTCGTTGGTAAGAAAGGGATGACATATAGTGCGGCTATGATTCAAGTACGGTCTGCAGATTTCTAAAAAAAAGATTGTCCACCTTACATGTAATTCTTCAGATATCTGCGACTGTGCATGTGATATGGCATCTTTGTAGTTTAGCATACCCAATTGTGACACCGTAGTTGGGATTGTCAAAAATAGTTGGGACTCTCTGCCAACTAGGCCTATAGCTTGGACGGATGTCCTACTTTTAGTTTATTGTAACAGTGGTAAGTGATCGCATCTGAATTGAATCAGAAGCCATGCGGCAGTTGGTCTCAACATTATTCCATCAAAATACATGTACCAGCTAGCAGAAAATACACAAAAAATGGAAGGCACCTTAGGTTTTGAGACTTCATTGCTCAAGCTGTACTCAAATAAAGGTCAAAAACAAGAAAAATCTGCAAACGTTTCTGTCACTACTTATCAACAGCCATAAAAATGGCCTTGCCGACTTAATAATGATTCAGTAATTGTTGTTTCATTTCAATTTTCAGAACGCTGTCTAAGTATATGGCAAACATGACAGCGGGGCAAGAGAAATGCAGGATATTGGTACCACTTTGTGGAAAGTCAGAAGACATGAAATGGTGAGAGGTGTAGTAATTCTATCTCACTTGTGAGAAAACTAATTTCCTAGCCTCTTTTCCAGAAAATGTATTCATTGAACCATATATTTACTTTGAGGTTTCTGAAATTGTTGGAAATTCTGCTACTTTTGGTTTACAAATTAATCACACATTTTTTTTACACTGAAAAACTTAAAAAAAAATGATGCTCCAGCCAAAGTTAGGACTAGATAGGCTCTACTTTTCCTAAAGGTTTGCTGCAGTGAAATGTTCTTTCAACACACTTTTTTCTGCAACTTTATTCTGTTCATCAATGTATGAAAACGATTGGAAATCCGTATCAGGTTAAGTGAATGGAAAAGTGCACCTTTTTAAGCGTTTGATAATACCAATGCTGTGCATGTCCTGGAAACTGAGGGCGCTGTCACTGTGATGTCATACAGGGAAGACATGGTTTTGTGCATAGGGTTTTTTCTGCTCAGTCGCAAACCCATAATGTAATCCATGAAAACAGGTTGAGAAAGAGTCTCTTACTTGCTTATTGCCGTGCACTCACACAATGATGAGTCACCAAGGAAGAAAAACAATTAGGTCAGCAGATTTAAAAAATAAAGGAGTTTTTTAGCATCAACAAGTGTGACATTCAGGCCATCCTTCTGGGATTACATCACAATTTGGCTCATGATTATGAAAATGCGCATCGATATCAAACCATTTAAGCAGCAAAACCCCCTTTGAAATTGTGAAACCAAAATTGAAATTTAGGTTAGCTTGGACACAAAGGTTCATTTTGGGAGATATGGAAAACATTTCGATACAGAGACCGTTTTATCTTTCAAAATCCTCCTAAACGTCCTGGCAAATTTGGAAAGACATGAACCAGGGAAGGCCTGGCGTGTGCATACACCCTGTCTCCCCACAGGCTTGCTGACCAAGGCCACTCGGTAGTTGGAGTCGAACTCTCACCCTTGGCAGTTGAAGCTTTCTACAAGGAGAACAAACTGGACTTCACCTCCAGTCCCATCGAAGGATTAAGTGATGCTGATTTGTACAAGGTAATGTGCTACATGTAGGTTTTGGTCGAATAGATTTTCACATTGTGCTGGCTCTGTTAATGAATTGGAGATCTTTACGCTTTTTACTTACTATCTGATATTAATTTGTTGTGTGTTTTCAGAGCAAAAATGAAAGGATTCAAATTTACAAAGCAAGTCTATTTGACTTAAGTAGGTAAGTAATATTTCCATTTTGTTTCCCAATCGGTGTTTCTTCAAATATTTACCTTAAGAAAAGATATCTTAGTTATTTGTAACAAACTAGAACAGAAACGGTAACAGTTGTGTAACTTTTTTAGAATCTCAATATAAATTTGATTGATATAACTATTTTGTATTTGTTCATTTCAAACCAAAATCATATCTGCATATAGTGTACATATATAGTGATAAATATATCGGACAGGTTAATAAAGTGAAATTCTGAAATTTTGATTACAGAGATATTTTGGGAGAATTTGACTGCATATGGGACCGTGGTTCACTTGTTGCTTTGCTCCGTGAGGATATGCAGAGGTACGTGGGCTGATATGTTGCCATAAATCTGGAGGTTTTTAACCCTCCTATGCTGAAGTCACTTTTCGGGTCATTTGGTGAACACCTCAAAGAAGCACAGCTGTGTGGTGTTGTGTTGTGCACTGCACGAACAGTCCCTCACAG